GGCGTAATATACCTTATGCAATCTATTTGATAGACCTCCATATACCAGTGAACAAATAAGTATAAATTCAATTCTACAATCCATTAAGAATAGGACAACTGGCTTTAATACAGTGAATGATTTACTTGTGACTTGCTCATAACCAAGGTGTATGCTGAAATATAAATCTCTTGTAGCAATGTTTCCTTTATGTTCAGGTTTATTGTGATTAAATGTTGAAAAAGCGCTTTCTGCCTGAGGGCCTGGGACAGAAGCAGTCTCTGTAGGAAAAAGAATCCAACAAAAAAGAACTCAACAAGGAATTTACAGCAAAATAGCACAAATTCTTGGTTAAAATTAAAATATGCAAGTAGAGGCTATAAAGCTTTTTATTCAATTCCCATTTACTGTACTTGTATCCATTTATCAATGTGAATAATAAGATATTCACTTGTCCGTTCAGGATTTTTGTGTAACTTAATGTTAGCAGAAGAGAGAGCTATTTCTTCCCTCACACTAATTCTTTTTCAAGGGGAGTTCAGTTTCAGCAGTAAAGAATCCAGATTTAGTACTTGAGATTTTTAATCAAGATATGTTTTCCTGGTGACAGACCCCTTAAGTTTAAACTGCAAAATGAGTAAACTCAAGTGAGCAGAGGGAACGTGGGTGCCCTTACGTGATGAAAAAACAACTTGCATTTATATAGTGCCCTTCACTGAAGTAGGTCCTACTAGGATAATGCGTCAGAGTATTTCACAATGACAGGGTTGGGTACCGAGTAATGGAGAAGGAAGAGGGGGAGTAATGAAGTGGGAGGTGATCATAGGCGTGGTCAAGGAGTTAGGTTTTAAGGCGTAATTTAAAGAAAGAGGTCTGAGGCAGAGGAGTAGAGGAAGGGAGTTCCAGAGGTTAGAGGCATGCAAAACCAATACAAAATTACATTTGTATAGCACCTTTCACGTCGGGAGGATATCCTAAGGCGCTGGAAAGTCAGGGGTTTGGACCCGAGCAAGGGGAGGGGTAAGCAAGGGGGTGGAGGGCAGCTAGGGTAGGAGGGTGGCTGAAGGCAAGGTCGAAAGACGGAGGGAATGTGGGATGGAGTTCCCAAGGGTGGAGTCAGAGAGGCTGAAGGCCCAACCGCCGACTGTGGGGCAGGCTGGGCGGGGGCATGGAGCAGGTCAGAGCCTGCTGAGCGGAGGGAGAGAACAGGTTGATAAGGGATTAGCAGGTCACTGAGGTAGGAAGGGACAAGGCCATGGAGGGCCTTGAATGCACAGTGACCAAAGGCTCGGCCACAATCAATGCAGAGAGTTGCAAGTGAACCTACTTTTCACATGGTAAATAACATACACCATTGAGCATTTGAGCAGTCAATAAAGTGTTGATATTTTTTACAGTTATAAGCGAGAATTCTATGAGGTAGGATGAAAGGGTAAAAGACTTTGCAGCTTTCCTTATATGAAAAAATTAAATAAGGATCTTTTCTCCCCAGCCATCGTCCCTCGTTCTCCCAGGAGCCTCCGTGGGTTGGAGCGTCCCACCTGGATGATTTACTTTATCTCCTGGGAGATCCCGTTGCCAGGACTCCGAGCCACCAATACACCCAAGAGGAGAAACAGCTCTCTTTCAGTCTCATGGCTTACTGGACAAACTTTGCTCACACCGGGTAGGATCATATTTTCAGTACTTTTGAGGTTTTGAAAAGATATATTGCAGTACAGTGGAAGCTGCTTCAGCCAGACAGACGCCTGTTAACCCCAAGCGCTGGGTAAATCGGACAAAATGTCCGGTCCTGATTCATTTGTGTTCTTACCTGTTTTAATCCGGACAAAATACTGGCTGGTCATCACTGGATATGGGAGGAGTCAAACTCCAATTGATTGACAGCAGACTCCAGCCAATCACAAGCGGATCTAGGCTGTCACTCAGTGGGGGGGGGGGGTGTGGGGGGCGTGGATTACCGGGAAGAAACAAGGGAAGGAATGGAAGGAGGAGTCAAAGACAGTTGGAGCCGCTTGGGAATGGGTAGAGTCCATCCGTTCACAAGCGGCTTCAGGCTGTCAATCACCTCGGAGCTGCCGCTAATTCGCCCTCTTCCCGTCCAATGGGAATGGCAAAGGGAGGGAGATGATGCTGACGCTGCTCCTCTGCAGGGCGGGGAGAAGTGAGGGACCTCAGATGCCGCTTAAGATGGACAAAATGTCCGTCCCCGATGTGTCGTTGCTAAGCGTCTTCCACTGTATTGTAATTTGCCCGTTTACAACTTCCTCTGTCCTGCTCATTAATCGCCGACAAAGACACCGGGGCCTTCCCCTCCATTCCTACGACTGCTAGGAATTCCGAGGACAGCCAAGGCAACTGTGCTCTTCCTATTTAGAGAGGAGCATCCCAGCCTCTGCTCAGGGCTGTCCCCAATGCTGAGGCCAAGATCAGAAACAGCCGTTGTCAACCCTCTCAGTTTGATCAGTTAGAAATTTACAGCACAGAAAAAGGCCATTTGGTCCATCGAATCTGGGGTGACTCTTTTAAGAGCTGTCTTTTCGGTGCCATTTACCTGCCCTTTCCCCATACCCCTGTAATTTACTTTTTTTCAAATATCTAGTTCCCTTTTGGAAGCTAATATGGAATCTGCCTCAACCAATGATCCAGCCATGTCATAAGAAATCTGTGTGAAAAAAGTTCTCCTTATCTCCCCCATTTGTTCGTTTCCTCGATGCCCTCCAAGTCCCTGACTCACTGATCAGAATTTGAAGCACATGACCTAAACTTTGCTTCTCTTTCTGAATAGTGCCCTGAGATGTTTAACATCAAACCTGAACAGAGTCCTAACCTTGCTTTGATATCTCATGCAAAGTAGAGAACCACCAATCATAATAATCATAATACTTGCATTTGATACAGAGTCTTATCACCTCATTGAAAGGCACTTCACGGGATATACTATGAAGTTGATTGACTGTATTTTCCAATAGTCCTGCACTGAAGTCAACAACGTCGATAAATTTACATTTATATAGCACTTTTAACAACTGGAGGATGTCTCAATGCTTCACGGAATACAACAAGAAGATTACATTTGTATAGCTTCCAATCAAGGCTTCAATCCAGAAGTGAGAGTGCTACTAACTGAGCAAAGCTCATAAAGCTGACAGGAGGGGGCACGGGTGGGAAGATAATTTTTCAGTATTCATTCACTCAAAAACTTTCAGGATTTGAAGATGTGTCAAATTTGTGGAGATTTGTGGAGTCCTGTAGCTCAGTGGTTGAGAGCACTCGCCTCGCAAACAAGAGCCCTGGGTTTGATTCCCAGCAGCGTGAAACCCTGGGCAAGTTTCCTTACTCCACACTCCTGATAATAATCCCTCTAGAAAATAAACACTTAAGAAATTGGTCACTTCAATCCATGACTGTTTATGAGACACTGCTGTGCGCAATTGGCTACCACATTTCGCCCACAAATATACAGTCAATTCACTATACAGTATATTCTGTGAAGCACTTTGAGATGCCTAGAAGACGTGAAAAGCGCTATATCAAATGCAAGGATTATTTTTTATTTATCCCATTAACATTCCCAGTTCCAGTGCAAACAAACTCAATTACTTGAACCTGTTTCATAAGTATACTCCTTCATCCCTGGTACATGTGTGGACTGACCCTACTCTTCATTCCCGTGGATCTGATGTCCTTTCACAGGCCACCCATTTTGCATACATGTGGGACAGAGCAGAGGCGGTTTGGAGTCGGGATTAGGAGGGATGTAGTATTAACACTGACACTGATTGAGCTGAATGGTCTGTGTCTGTCCTGTAACATTCTATGTGACTGTACATAATAGTATAGGCTGCATAAGCCAAGTTGCTTTAATGACTTCCAGTATTATCTGAATTGAAATAAATGTAAAGAAAAGTTTGCCCAAGATTGACACTCCTCACAGTTCAATGCTGAAGTCAGGGCAGTCTTGGAAACATGTTCCGTAAGGAACTACCTCAAGTTTTAAGCAGTCCGGGACACTACCCTGCGTGAAGGGCACTATATGAAGGCAAGTTGTTATTATGTTGAGACTGCTCAAAATAGTTACAAGACACTTACAGTCAACTGTGACCTCCTTCAGGTTCAGCTCCATTTTAACCTGTGAAAAGGTGGAGGTGAAAAGGACAGTGCACTCACCCACTTCAGTACCCTGGTTGCCTAAAAATGATCACCTCACCCTTTCCCTCAGCTGCTTCAAGATCTGTCTCAAGACCTTTCCCTTTGACTGTATCTTCAGTCATTTACCCACCCTCACCACCCTTAGCCCCCAACCTTCCTGAATTCAACCCCCAACTCAGGTGCAAACCCTCCAGTGCTTTTTGGCATCCTGCTGACACAAAAGGTGTTATATAAATGCAATTTGTTGGAACAGGTCGGGTATTATTTCCCCTAAAAGTAAGACTATGTGACCTATGAATTCTGAAGGTTGTGTGAATTTTCTCTTCAAATATATTGTTGATAGATCGAGTTCCTGTCCTTATTCAATTTTTATTTTTAAACGCACTCAGCAACCCAAACAGAGGGCTCCACAGGATGCCACTTTGGCCAAGTTACACAGCCGCTGGTGCAGGATTCATGAATTTCACGGCAAACTGTTTGACGTCTGTGGGCAGGTTGTACCGCAGACAGGAAACGGCCCTTTGGAGCGAGCTTGTTCCCCAGATGCAGCGTGAAGAATGGTGCAGCAGTGACTGGAAGTCATCAACACCCGGGACGAAGACAACCACCGTTGGACCCACCACTACCCAACCTGCAGTGGAGTGCAAGGAAGAGACCCAAGATGTCCTCACAATGCAGCTGACTGCCACTGAGACAGTGACTGCATTCTACGTCAGCTTTGCCCTGTTATTTATTGAAGCATTCACGATTGTAGGGCTGTCGTGCCGGCTCTACGCACAACGCAAGAAGCTACAAGATCCACTCGCAAGATCCATCACGTCAGAAATCCCTTTGATGGGCCCCACTGACAAAATCATGTGCCAGACTTGGTTTTGAAAAAAAAACATGTTTTTATTTCAACTTTGTACAAAATATTTGGTTTTTTCAAGTTAACCATTAAAAAAAACGTAGCAAGAGTGGAAAAATCTGATCCAAAGATAACAATATCCTGAGATAACAAAGGGTTTAAATTGTGTAATGGGTTAAATGGCAGCAATCGGTGAACAATAAATCCACCACTCTCCTCCACTCTGGAACTCCCGTTTCATCTAACATACTGAACCAAGCGCACTTCAAAATTAAAAATAGATGTCTCACCAGCTTGGATTTTTGCATGCTTCACACATATTCCGATTACAAACTGCTTTTTACACCCTCCTCCCCCACTCCTCAAATCTTTCGACTCTACATTTTAATTTAAAAATAAGTACAAAACGCTCAAATCAGAAGGCAAAAATCACACACGTTGTAAAATAAATGCCCTTCATCTCTGGAAAGCGCCGTCTATTGTTGGGTATGGTTCCCTCGACAGCCGTCTCCTTGACTGTGACCATTATTTATGTGCGAGGCTCAACAGTGAGTACCGACAGGCTGTTTGACAATGTGGGGGGGACTTTCATGAGTTGAAACCCTGGCATAATTGTTCTACTTTCCATCCGGGCTACAGCCAACTGAAGCAGCCCAACCTCTGGCCTGGCTCAGGTCAGCTAACTGAGCACAGAGCAGCATAGCAAGAAATAAACTCCTGTCACCGTCTGATTTGCAGGACTGAACGGCAGTACACTGTGCGTGGCCCTTGTCCACTGGCCACCGGTTGAGCTGGTTTTACAAGTGTAGAGCAAGAGTAGCGTACGTGGGAAGATGATTGATGGAGCTGTGAAGGTCAGGGCACATGGAATGATAGACCGCAGGCTAACACTTGCAAACGGTGGCACTACAGGCAGGGAGACTGATCAAAATCATGTGTGTTAACAAGGGAAGCTTCCCAACACTGAAGGCCAGTCCTGCAGTGGGAGGGCTGAACAACAAGCAGACAACACAACACTGGGCAGCTCTACAGCAGCCCATTCCCACCCAAGCATCCAGTTCACAAAACAGACAACGGCAAGGAAGGAGGCCCTGGGGGAAAGAGGTGAGCTGCTCACAGCCTGCACGAGTCTCGTGAAGAGACCGTGAGAGGAGGCAAGTGACTTGGAAAGAAATGTGCTTGCTCTCGGGATATGATCCCGAGGCTAAGGGAAAAATCCAGCTATTCAGAACACATTGCTGGGAGGAGCTTTGCCGAGAGTACGGAGGGGGTTTCTGTGAGTAAGGAGCAGCACACCTTGAATTACGTGTCTCGAGACACCTAAGTGCTTTCTGCACCTGATATCTTTATATCTCGCTGTTTAATTTCTTCTTCTCTTCAAACTGCCTGTCCACGATCTTGGACAGAGCTTCCAGAAACTTCTCGACTGTTGCAGATGGCGACTGAGGAGACAAGGTGGAGAAAAAAATGAGCAGAACACATAAGCATGAGCAAAACAACTCCAAGGCACTATTTTTCCATGCATTTTTGAGGGCCCAGATCAGCAGCCACAACTGAAGCAGATAAAGTCCATTTAACATGAGCTGAATAATGCAGCAAAATCTTTCAACATCAGACACCAATGCCAGTTACGTATTTACAGACTGTCCGTTATAGTATGCAGTATTATTGCTTTTAAGACAAATTGACATGCTATAGCTTTGCACTGGACGTAATGAGGTCAGTTCACAGATCAATTTGATACTTAACCTCATTGAATAGTGTTTATGCCTCTCTCTCCTTTCCCAGACTTTGTTCTCAATTGTGACGTCTATGAAGTTGGACTGAATGCCGTTTATTACCAGGCTTTTCATGGTTTTAGTTCACTGAACACAAAACCATTTTCACAGTGAGTTGTTCGGATCTGGAATGCATTGCCTGAAAGTGTGGTGGAAGCTGATTCAATAACAACTTTTAAGAGAGAAGTAGATAATTATTTGGGGAGGACAAGTTTGCAGGGCTATGGGGAGAGAGCGGGGCAGTGGGATTGAATTGGACAGCTCTTTTCAAAGAGCCGGCACAGACACGATGGGCCGAATGGCTTCCTTCTGTGCTGTATAATTCTATGAAAGGCTGGTGTCCTGCTTAATGATAGTCAAAGGTCACAATTCACAAGTGCAATGCAGCTTCATGCAATTCAACACCGAGAACAGCATTGGGGAGGGAGGAAATGGGCAATTAGGCTACTGTCTTATTAGAAAGATCACAAGGGAGGTTCAGATGAAGAAGGCATTTCAGCTCATCTGATCCCATTCTTCCTGAATACCCACCTGACATCTGGGACGCTACCCGGTATGAAGGGAGTAGTAAGTTATAATTGTAAGTTGTTGTTGTTTTGTTGACCTTCCTCCCATTACAGCATCAAGCTATTCTTAAATGGCTAATCACTCCCAAGATTTAATTTGTTATGTATAAAATCCACCTGACTCTCTAGAAAAACTCATTAAGTACCAGTTATAAACTGGCTGTGACAAAACTCACCTGAATGTGCAGAGCATGGGCCAGAAAGGGAAGCTTTCGCAACACTCTTCCGCTAAGTCCCTCACTTTTTCTAAGGAGGAGGAGGAAGAAAATGTTAACACTGGAAATTTGTATTCCAAATTCGTACGAGACCCTACGTTAAAAAGCACATCGTAATGACACAAAATGTGGAGTCCATGTCTGCCAACATGGTGTGGATTTATGTCACAGCACCAGGTTACATATGACCTCATCTTAGAGCTGAGGCACTGACAACAAAACTACTGCAGGGAGTTTTCTAGTCCAGCCAGTCAGTTTCAGGTTAACAAAAGAGGAGAAACACTGTGCAGCAGAGCGCTGCTTATCCACATGCCACTTATCCACATGTGCATTTATCCACATGGGGCTCCAATGTAAGATGTTCCACATGGGCGGTTACGTACAAGGTTTCTAGGAACATTCTGACTAGTCTCCATCGCAGTCCTGGCACCTTGCATGCACACACTCATACTTTTACATTCTACAGTTTAGGGCTAGAGATAGATAAATAGAAAGTTAGAGAGATTCAGAGACACACGTATACATACACTAAGAGAGAGACACACAGAGAGAAAAGGGCAGAGTGAAATAAAATCAGTGTGGAGGAGAGAGAGTGAGAGAATGGTTGGCACAGTGTTTCATAATTCTTTAGCTGGTCTTATAGCCAATTTGTATTTTGTGTGAAGTTGGATTATCCACAATGTTTGCATATCTGTAAAGTGGACCGATCATAATTAGTACGGATTATGATACAGAACAGTAGACACAATACACAATAACTAAATTAGTTATAAATTGCTGAGTGGATGCAGTGAGTTAAGAGCGCTAACAGGTGTGGCCATCCAGAGGAGGAGTGGATTTACCCACAAACTCTGGTAATGTGGTGAAGCACTGAGGGGAGACCAGCAACTCCCACAAAGAGATAGGGCAGTGTGGGGAGAAGAGTAGGTCAGTCTCAGGCTGCACTGGTACCCTCCTTGCTGCTGACTTCATAGCACAGGTTCTGGAATCAGGTAACCTCACAATCTGCCCTCAACAAAATTAGGAAACTAAGGAAAAGAATGGGGAGACAAAGACACCTCAAAAGGAGATGCTACCCTAACAATTATGCAGAAACAGTATTTTGGCCTTGTAGGATTCAAGGCTTATTGGTCTAAGAATACAGGACTGCAAAGCAGCCAGAGCAACTTCTGAAAACAGTCAGGAGTTGCACAAATGTTACGCAACCGACAATAACTGACCAACAACAAATGTTGATCATAATCAGCCAGCGGCGAATTAGTTTTCAATTAATTTCACTATTTTTCTTCTCACATTTGTCTTCATATTCAGAATCCAATTTATATCTAGTTAGTAGATCTGTAGTCACTTGAAGAAGGGCTTAGGTTTGCTTACCAGCACTTTCAATAAATCTGACAATCCTAGAACACAGTACTAGAGAGCATCAATTTAAGATACTCAGCAAATGGGGAAGTAAAGAGAAATGTTTTCATTTGCAGAGTAATTAGGATATGGAATGCCCTGCCAGGAGTGATGATTGAAGCAGAATCCTTATCAGCTTTCCAAAGGAACTTGATAGATTATGTAAAACAGAGTAAGTTATAAGGGGTCGCTGGGTGCAGCGACTTCTGTTTTTGTTTTCAGATTTCCATCATCTGCAGTATTTTGTGTTTTGTTTAAGTTATAAAGGTACGGGGAAAGGGCAAATGAATGGAAATGAAAGGACTGCTCTTAAAACAGCCAGGACAGACACGATGGGCCGAATGGCCTTCTTCTGTGCTGTACATTTCTAAGGATTCATGATACTCATAAGAATAGTCAGACAAGAGGGAAGAATGTCTTACAATTACAGATACAGATCAAGCTTTTACAAGAAACTCACATTGCAATATTCTTAAGTGCTAAGCTCAGTCTGGACACATCATTTTCCATGTAGCCTATCATCTGCAGCTCTCTCAGGCTTAGCAGCTGCTGTCTGGGATAGATGATCTGGCACTAAAATGAAAACATACAATAAGTAAAACCTTCACAGCAAACTGACGTCCAGCAGAGGACAGATTACTTTCCTGTTCCTGTAGATTTGGCAAAGCTGTTGGGTAAGGGATTGACTGAATGCGTGTGAATGACACGTTCTGAGCCACAGAATAAGACAAGCCCAGATTTGTTTCCTGGTAAGGACTGGACATGTCTGGGCTCTGAGAGTGGCCGTCAATCAATATCTTGCGAGCGCATTTAGTATTGTGGGTAAAGTGTACCAATGGAAGTGTGCCCCAGCATGAGGCAGTTTGGAGCAAGCCTGGCAGTTATTTTTTCACTAAAACTAAATCCATAGCCACATTTATTAACATAGAACTGGCAAAAATATCAGTTGCGGCGGTGGGAAGATCAATTATGCTTCTGGTTATGTTGAAACTGCAGCATCCTTGAAAGTTTAAGGTTTCTAAACACTGGCTAACATTCCCCCTAAATAAAATTGCTCATTCACTTTCATGGCTGTTAATGGGGACACCCCTGCACGCAGAGTGGCTGCCCCATTCACATACAAAAAAGTCACTGCACTTCACGGTGAATCTTGTGAAGCGTTTTGAGACGTGCTCCCGACATGAAACACGTGATGTCAAATGCGAGAATTATTATTTATATTCCAAATAAATAACAGGCATCACGAGTTACTGTAAATTAAGTCATACAGAGAGTGGAACAGTCATGGTCTGGAGCAGCATTTTGAGCTTGCGTGAAAGGCACCATACAAATGTAATTTGTTGTTGGCCATGAATGATATCCGACACTATTAGTTTAAATCAATCTGTTCCCTTCTTCTCCCATCTCCTTCCAGCGAAACATTGAACAATCTCAGCACTAAAACAGCTCGAGAAACAGCAACTAGAAATGGGTCAGTTTCATACCTTCATTAATTCTTCCAGGCAAGAGAGGTAGATCTTGAAGATAGCAGCAGCAGACGGTGGACCAATATACTGTTTAATGTCTGCCCTGTCTACAAAGGCCACGTCAATTTTTTCAGTGATGTTGGAAGTGGTCAGAATTACAACGTTGGGGTACCTGTGTGGTTTGGAGAAAACAACCAGAGATAGTTTAGAGCTCAGACAAGAGTCAGAGTGGAGATTGTAAGGGTAGGAGGAGGAGGGATTGAGGCCAGCCCCAAATGCACCTGCTCAGAATGTGTGGCCAATCTTGACCCAGCAACTCACCATTCTCACAGTGAGGCTCACTTCTAAACAAGTGAGCACAGTGTAAACGGACGTCCTCCAACAAAAGACATGTGCACTCACAACTACACAAGTATATTTTGCCCCCAATCCTCTCCCCCTCCCGCGTACTCTCATCAGGCATGTTACAGTACCGAGTTTTCAGACTGGTTTTGTTCATATGCAGAACAGAGTCAGAAACAGTTCAATATTAGGACAACTATCAACTGTCCACAAAATATACCCACAGTATTTTGCCCACAGCAAATTCACTTTACAGTTATATTCTGTGAAGCGCTTTGAGATGTCTCGAAGACGTGATAAGGCGCGATATCAAATGCAAGGATTATAACTGCTGATCCATTTGATGCTTAATGGTGTTTTCTGCGTTCCGGTTATATGGTAATTCACTGCACTTTAAAACAAAAATGTGGAAGATCCCATCAAAGATCCACAAAGATAATAATCTTGAATGATTCTTAGCCTCGCTAAAAGTTTTTACCTGGCCTGATGATGCTAAGCCACACTTCTGGTCAGATGGTTGTGCAGGTGGTTAGAGACGTACCTTTTGATCTGGTCTATTTGTGTCAGCACAGCATTCACTACTCGGATGGCATCGGACGGCTCGGTGCCACCTCTGGAAGCGTTGCGGGCTGCGGTCAAACTCTCCACCTGCAGGAGGCGACAGAATGATTGTATAATAATAATAATCCTTGCATTTGATATAGCGCTTTTTACGTCTTCTAGACGTCTCAAAGCGCTTCACAGAATATACTGTAAAGTGAATTGACTGTATATTTTGTGGGCGAAACGCAGCAGCCAATTGCGCACAGCAATATCCCACAAACAGTCGTGGATTGAAGTGACCAATTTATTATTGTTTCTTTTCTTGAGTGATTATTATTAGGCGTGCGGAGTAAGGAAACTTGCCCAAGGTTTCGCCCTGTCTGGATCGAATTCAGGTCTCTCACTTGTGAGGCAAGTGCTGTCACCATTGAGCTACAGAACTCCACAGGCTTAACACGTCTTCAAGATGTCTCAAAGTGATTCACACAATATGCTATAAAGTGAATTGACTATATTTTGTGGGTGAAACGCGGCAACCAATTATGCACAGCAGTCGTGAATTGAGGGACCAATTTATTTATTTATTTTTGAAGGGATTGTTTCCCCTGGAAAGTGATCCGCCAATCGACTAACAACCAGGTTCCTACTTACTGCTAGGTAAACAGAAGCGGATGGAGTAAGCCCAAATAAATTGCAACAGACCATTTTTAAATCCAACTTCATGGGTGGTGAACGAAAGCTTTTTACTCTTAAAAAACAATAATTGTTCAACCTACTCGGAATTACATAATCTGATATAGTTTTATGATGAAAAATTTAAAACACCAAATAATCTTTTATACATATTAAAACAAAACCTGTAGTCCTCGATAGGAATTCAGTATCAATCAACTTCAGTCACCCATTGATGCCCTAGAAGAATTGACACCAGAGGACAACTACAAGCCTTCACATATTGTGTAGTTTACATAGCTAAGCTTGAGTAGTAATACAGTGGCCATCGGAACTACAGAGGACCGGAAAAGACCATTCAAAGTAAAACAAAACATTAAATTAAATAAATAAATAATCCTGCACTACTCAATGCTCATACCCACCGCGCAACTAAATTCTTTGGCAATCACTAGCTAATTCCCTCGAGAATTTGCTGCCTAATCAGAGCTCCATGCTCGGATTCTTGGACTGGAATCACTCCAGCATTTTTTTTACTTTCACAATGTGTATTTATTTATATTCTTTATGGAGCGGTTTTATTCAATTTTGTGGCAACACTCGGCTGGCTCGGCATATACACTGTGGCAATAAAGAAGCTTAGTGGGCAGTGTAAAGTGATTCCAGTCGGTTATGATTATACAGCCCACATGTGACCATTGACAAGACATTTCAAAGCAAGAAAAATGTCTTGACAAACACTGAAGCACCTAAGACGTACGATAACATTTACACTAAGTAATAGCGGTTATCTTATTATTGGCAGAAGAGAATCAATCATTCAACAAACAGTTCCATTGATTCAGTGATGCACAGGGTGGCCAAAATATTGTGATACCATTAAAATGTCTAACAAGTCTTAAAGAAATTATGCTGATTTTTTTTTAGATATTAGGGTAGACATCACAACTTTTTGGTCACTTTGTACAACAGTTATAATGCGATGTCTTGGATCCCAAGAAAATAAAACTCCGCATTAAACAGGTCCGGGAAAATAAATGGACTTGCTGGGTAGTATCTCAGAGCACTTAACAGTGGCAGAGCCTGACTTCGAGTTGGGAGGGGGTATGCACGGTCGAAGAGGAAAGTTTTCAGACAGGGCTTGAAAAAGGAGAGGGGCAAGGCAGAGGTATTGAGGGAGAGTGTTCCAGACTTTCGGGGCGTAGTGGCTGAAAGCGTGATCTTCGATGGTGGGGCAGAGGGTGCGAGGAACGAGCAGGAGGCCGGTGCCAGTCGAGTGGAAGCATAGGGTGGTGGATTGGGTCGTGAGGAGGTCAGAGTGGTAGGGAGGTGCCAGGGAGTGAAGGGATTTGAACACGAGAGTGAGGATCTTGAAGTTGATCCATTCAGTGATGGGGCGCCAGTGGAGCCTGGGCCAGAACTGGTGAGATGTGGATATGGAGTTTGGTCCAGGTCAGTATGTGGGCGGCAGAGTTTTGAATGAGCTGGATCTTGTGAGTGGTGGAGCTGGGGAGACCGGCGAGGAGTGTGTTTTGAGTAATCCAGGCGGGAGGTGACAAACACATTCACAAGGGTTTCGGCTGCATTTGGGATAAGTACGGTAGGAGGTGGGTAATGTGGCGGAGGTGGAAGAAGGCAGTCCTTGTCAGGGACAGGATGTGGGGATGAAGAACAGCTGGTAGTTGAACCGGACTCCTAGATTGCGTTCTGGTTCGGTAACTGTGAGCGAGAGGCCCAAGGAGGTTGAGGAGTTCAGATCCGCAGGAATGAAGCTGTTGGCAGGAGCCAAAGAGTATGGCTTCTGTCTTGTCCCCATTCAGATGCAGGAAGTTTGCACTGGTATGAGGATCTTGGAGTCGGATTTGAAGCATGATGGCAGAATTTGGATTTTCAGGTAACAAAATGTCAGAGTCCACAGCCCGAGCACTTGAACTTGAAGTTATAAAGGGATTGCACTATATTACCCTATATGTTGTTGGTCTTTTTTCATACTCTCTCTTGGCCCTCAGTGTTCTAAGCTTTTTGCATTTAATAAACCTTGCAGTTGATTTAGTGCCTTATCATGTCAAAACATCTTGCAGTGCTTCACAGTAATTCCTATTTTGTGCAGTGACTGTATTTGCAGACAAACTCTCCTGATTTTACTAGGATTTTTCTGGAGTCCTGTAGCTCAGTTAGTGCACTTGCCTTGCAAGTGAGACCTGGGTTCGTTTCCTGGCAGGACGAAATGTTGGGCAAATTTCCTTACTCCACACACCTCTCTTTACCTAGCAGTAAGTAGGAACCCAGTTGTTAGCCAACTGGCGAATCGCTTTTCCAGAGGTAATAATGCCTCAAAAAAAATTAGTCACTCAATCCATGACTGTTTGTGGGACACTGCTGTGCGCAATTGGCTGCCGTATTTTGCCCAAAAATATACAGCCAAAATATACTTGATAAGGCGCTATATCAAATGCAAGGATTATTATTATTATAGCCTCTTTTTTAAATCGCAGTTTATTTAAACTTTCATTTATGACTTAATCTTCCAATTCATTCACAAAACACCAGATCTTGACGCATCTCTATTTCTGGTAGATCCCATGGCATTCTTCAAAAAGAAAAGGGATTTTCTTTCTGTGTCCTGGCCAACGATCCTCCAAATAAAATTACTCATCCACTTCATGGCTGTTTGTGGGATATTGCTGTGCACAAATCGGCTGCTGTGTTTATTTACAAATACACAGCAACTGCACTTCAAAGTATATTCTGTGAAGAGCTTTGAGACATTTCAACGACTTGATAAGACGCTATATCAGCTGCAAGGATTATTAGAATCACCGAACGACACACGACCATTTTAATTCCATTCGAGACTATCAATCGAACGACAGGTGGAAATCATTCAGAATTGATGACATGAACTTTAAACAACTGTAGCTCACAAAACAACTTGCAGCCACTGCATAAAATCACACACAACAGTCATATTGTAGTGTCATCTACTGGTAGACAATGAGAGCTGCAACTGACCATTCGGAAACATGCATTTCAACACCAACCTTTTCGACACCATGACCTGCTGCACAGTTCTAAATGATGGAATTATCAAGTTTTCTCCAGGATTAAAATACACCCTCTTACCTCGTCGATTAAAACAAACACAAGAGCTTGGGTATCCCCGATTAAATCCCGAATGGTTTGAAACATCTTCGTAACAAGTTTGCCACTCTGTTTAAGAAGAGATTTAATATCAAATTAGCATTTATACACTTTTCCGAAAAAGCACAAATATGATTCTATGGGTTACGAGAACTTTCCTGTTTTACAGTGATGTGTGGATCTTATCATTCTCTCCTCCCCCCCCCCCTCCCCCTCATTTCAGCTACGCAAGCAACAGTCAGTTTAATATAACCTGACAGTGGTTTGCCGTTGGGTATAAGATCATTTCTAGCTGAAAGGAACTGATTATGCAAGTTTATCCAGAATTAGCTGTTACTTAGTGCAGCTCATCAATCAAAATATTAAAAGGAAACAGAAAAGGTTGAAGAAGTCAGGTTAGTATTTGTACTATTGAGCTGTTGTAGTTCAAATCCAAAAAGCCATTGGGACATTATCATCAGTCAGTAAATACAAAACCACGTAGAATTGCTTTGTCCGAAGATCAAGAATTTAACAGTTACTTCAAATTGCACTTATTTTTTTAAAAAATTGAATATAACCATTATAATTAAATAAAGCCTAAAGAAGTGCAAATTACACTGTCAACATTGAACCCCTGAATGATATGAACACGTAATTGTTGACACTTAAGGTAGGGCTTACCTCGGAAAACCATTTAGAAAAGAGACTATGGCTGTTGATTTCTATTAGCTGCCCATACCGGTACCTGAAACAAATGCAGCTACATTAATACAAAGCTTTTATTTTGTTTTCATGTAGTTTTTTTTTGAAAAACTACTTGTTATATAAATTATTGATTTTTTTTTAATGAAAGCGTGCCAAAGGCTGGGTGGAGAACTTGTTCAGCACACAGGCTTTTCACTTCTGGGTAAGTAGTAGGAATCCTGCCCAGACAGTGTCTCCTATGTCTGTCTGCTGGCTGGACGTTCACTTCAGAGCAGGAGTAATCCCACAGCACAAAACTGGCACGAATTATCATTCATAGTTCAGAGCAACCGCAGGGCGGCTAACGGAAAACGTCAGACTGGCTCCTGTAGGAAGTGCTCTTCTGAGACTGGACTTGACTGATTCTAGTGCTTTCTTCAGGCGCCGCAGTTGATTTGATTTAAACAGGACTGTATTTCCCACTGACATGCTTCATCTACTCAAATAAAAATCATCCATTTTTTAAAAATATAAATCAGAGAAGTGAGCAGGGCCTTCAACAAGCTCACAAACTCACTTGAACTGGAACTTTCATAGTCAGTAAAGAGATTTCAGATCAACTGTCCAGTTAAACCCAAGTTACAGAGATGAACGATTATATCCAGCGCTCAGTCTAGTGCATTCAATCTCCAATAACCACAACAATTTCCATCTATAAAGTGACTTACACATCGGAAGCACATCTCATAGTCCTTCACACAACTGGCCAGGAACCTGAGATGTGGGTTGGGGGCGGTGGAGGGGGAAGAAGAGTAGTGGCCAAAAGTGTGCATTCAGTGTCTAGTAGTTTAGCAACAGTCGAATAATTTAAAATGTTAGCCACCACCGTATCCTTAGTTCTCCACATAATGCAATTTTTCATGTCTCAATTTTCCCTATGTCCATGATGTCCATGGAAACAGCCTTCAAATTCAGTTGTAGCTAATAACATTCCCCACGCTACACATTACCTCAAACCAAAGCAAACAATATTAAATGTGAGCATCCAGCAATGCAATGCAAACTTCTCTCAAAAAGCTGATTCAGACAGTGGAACAATACATTTGTGCATTATCACCTGTCAGATAATCGAATGGTGAGTTTTTGAGCCAATGCTTTACACAAAGATGTTTTGCCGGTTCCTGGAGGGCCTGTGTCGAAAACGAAAAAAAACATTTTAAACTTATAATAATGATAATCCTTGCAATTGATATAGCACTTTATCATATCTTCAAGACATCTCAAAGCGCTTCACACAATATACTGTAAAGTGAATTGACTGTATATTTTATATTTTATGGGCGAAACATGGCAGCCAATTGCGCACAGCAGTGTCCCACAAGACGTTGTGGATTGAATGACCAAATTATTATCATAGGAATTAGGGACGAGGCGGGATAGTAAAGGTACAAACTTTCTGTCTGTTATCATACAGAATATTCCAGGAAGGAAGTCCAAACCTTTTTAGCAACGTTCGGAGAATTTGGAGAATATACAATCCCATATGTATCTTATCTCATTTTGGAGCATCTCAAATGTGCACAGATTGTTACTTGGATCCACACTAAGCAGTGAAGGAGCTCATGTTAAGCAATAAGGACTTGATTGAATTCCCCTCCCCAAGAACCACGACCAAACCCATCACTTGACCTCCCATAGCTTGTGCCCATTCTTTACGTGAGCCTAGAGTTATATGATAGATAAGATTAGTCTTCCTCTCACTTCCCACTAAATGTAGGACTTGTACAATAATAATAATAATCCTTGGATTTGGGTATAGCGTCTTTCACACCAGGATTTACTATGAAGTGGAGAGACTGTATATTTGCAGACAGTATACTTTTATAGTGGGACAGTCCCAAATTCTAAATGCTCATTGCAAAAGTCACCATACTGCAAGAGCAATTTCAGCAACATAACATATCCCTTCAGCGTCCATTAAGGGGCTAGTAGAAAGCGGGAACCCTGGCTAATTTTCCTTTCTCCAACCCAGAATTCTGAAACCATTTTTTTCTTTTTTAGTAAACTTAAATGTTGCATTCAGTGATATGCTGCATCATAGTTGTACATGTAACTAAACGTGTGTCGGCCTGGTTCAGATGGTAACACTCTCACCTCTGAATCAGAAGGTTGTGGGTTCAAGCACCACGCTGGAACTCTGAACTCATAAGCTAAGCTGACACACTAGGACAGTGCTGGGGGAGCACTGTATTGTCGGAGGTGGCGTCCTTTGGATGAAACATTAAACAGAGGTCTCACCCGCCTGTTCAGGTGGACACTAAAGATCCCATGGCACTACTCAAAAAGAGGCAGCTCTACCAGGCTCCTGACCAAAGATCCTCCACATAAAATACTGGTCATTCACTTCATGGCAGTTTGAGGAATATCGCTATGCGCAAATTGGCTGCTTTAAAGCAACTTGAGATGTCCTCGTAATATGAATTGCACTACATTAAATGTAAGAATTATTATGTTATTACTAAAGTCTCTTAGCTGCCGAAGAGCAGTTCTGATCATTGTGGAGTGCACTTGGGAGGATCCCTTTGATTGCTTCAAAGCATCCAATGAAAGTTACAATAAATGAATGAGCCCCCTTTACTGTTCATAGTCCTACTTTCCTCAATAGGAAAATAATCTTTTCCTGCATTGAGCACCATGAGACTCTGGTGTACCTGCCCAGAGGATGGGCTCTATTATATAAGTCTTGTAATTGTAAACACATGTATATAATGTACCATATGAAAACAAGTGTACAAAGGGTGCTTTTAATTATGAAGTTAACATTCAATGAGAAGGATTAATTAATTATATGGTGTTGGGTTCTATTCTATAAGTTGTGTAAATACATGTATATTATGCGCCATTTTAAAACATGTTTAATAAAAATATAATTCAAATGGTATTAATAAGTCACTGTACTTTCAACCCAACAACATAATAAAAGGGGTTAAAATGTCACAGGCTGTAAAATTAGAGGATAACTGTTTTTAAAGCAACATTTTTGTCTTGTAACTTGTTCATCTCTAATTCAGCAGTCGATCTGAAAGGTTCAGTGTGTTGTAAGTTATGTGAATGCTGAACACACAGAGCTTGCTCCCTGCCGTTCTGGCCACCACTCTACAGGGTATCAGGTACTCAGGATGGCCATGATTCGTCCTGGAGAAGAAAATAATCAGATCCTGTAAAGGAGCCCAAGACTCACCATGCAACAGCACAACCCGATTCCAAGCAATCAAATTGCTGTCAACATTTCTGTCAGAAAACAGCAAGGTCGTCGAAACATAGTCAAGCAGCTGCCGGGAAAACAAGGTAACACGTTGCTTAATAGCTGCCAGAGACACAACACAGGGTTGCTTCGAAGCACAAAAAGATTAACATAAAATATCGAATTTCAATGAAAATATCATGGCATAAATAGCAGAGGATTAAAAAGTAGAACTATTGATATTCAGTGGCCTCCCTGCAGCACCCCTTTCCAGCGCCCTGGTATGTCTTTCCAACATGAAGGGCCCTATACAAGTGTAATTTGTTGTTGTTGTACATCCTACATTGATGTGGAGTTATGGATGTTGTAAGGAACACGTGTTTAATAGTAATATTCAAAGAGAATAATACTTGCATTTGATATAGCGCCTTATCAAGACTTCGAGACGTCGCTTCACAGAACATATGGTAAGATGAATTAACTGTATATTTTGTAGGCGAAACGCAGCAGTCAATTGCCCACACCAGTGTCACACAAACAGTCATGGATTGAGTGACCGAATTATTATTTTTTAAATAAAAATTTTGAAGGGATTATTAAGCCTAGAAAAGCAATCCGCCAAGATCAGAAGATCCAACATTTATAAACAAATTATTAAAATATTCTCAATTAGGCTAAAATGGCTCCTCCTGTATTACTTGTATATATTCTTTGACACAAATCAGCTGCATTATAAAAATCTGCCCATAGACTTCAAGCAGACGTCAGAATAGCTGCAAATAGTATTTGTGCCTGTCTTTTCCGCCTATTACTTACTTGCGATTTAACTTCGGTGTCATATACCAGGCTCTCCCAGAGACCATGGAATTCACCTGGAAAGAGGGAAGAAACTGTTATTAAATAAATTTAGAAATGGATATATAATATCATATATCCCTAGTTTGATAACAATGGCTGTTATTTCATTCGCACACAGATAATTCACAATGCAACATCAATGTGCAATTCCATCATCTCTCTCCCTATATACAAATTCCTGTATTTAATATAAAAAGGTCCCAAGGATGAACAAACTGGCAATTCAATATTTTAAATGGTTCTGATATCTGTAAACAACTGTTTCAAAGTAACATTTTGAATGTTAGTCATTAAATGCAGGTGTGGAAACCATAGAGTTTAAGTCAAGTAAAATATTTTACTGTTAAACGTGGGTTGTGCAACCTTAATGTACAACATTTGACAGCAACAAAGGGATAATCTGTAAAATCCATCTATAATCAAAATCAACTCGATCGTCTGAGTTTCTGAGTCAGGCAGATCCACAGGACTGCAAGGCACTGCTGGAATTGGGAATTACAGGGCTTGAAACCTTCAGTCTTAACAAGAGAATAGCTGTGGTCAAGTAACATAAATAGACATTGATATAATGTCTTTCACGTCGGGAGAACATCCCAAGGTGCTTGACAGTCCTGGCTTGGCACCCGAGGTGGGAGTGTGAGCTGAGGAGGTTGGGGAGGGAAAAGAAGACTGCAGGTGTGGTCCAAGTAGAAGGTCTTGAGATGAACCTTCAAAGAGCTGAAGGAGTGCGAGCGTCGGACAAATTCCGGGATGGAGTTCGAATCAGATTGACTAGTTTGACTAAAAGCTGGGTAAATGCTGTTCTCACATGTCCTCGTGGTATAGCAGCCAAAGGCTCCAACCACCTAGCTGAAGAAGTTCAAAAGAAATGGAATTATTGCAAGTTAAGGAGCAGTTAGGGTCAAAAACATACAGACTTAGAAACAAGAACAAAATCTTGTTGCACTTTTGCAAAATACAGCACCAAGTTGTAACAGATAATAGAGTGGGTCTAGATTGTAATATTTACTGAGAATTTCTAAAGAAAGTCCCATCAATTGACAAATCAATTAAGATTTCCTCTTCACTGCAATTTGCCGCTAGGCCAACATAGCCCTATTTAACAAGCCATGCTGAACATTACTAACATGTGGCACATACCAGCAGGTAAAAGCCAGTTGCTTGCTGCAGGCATATTCTCTTCTTCCCCCTCGAGAATCTCAGATGATGGACCCTCTTCATTCAGGCGAAAAATGTAAATCGAAAGATTGTATTTGTTCAGGTCAATGGGCTGCGAGAAAGAAATAACCAATACAGTTTAAGAACAGGTGCACCTTTTCATAACCGATCTGAAAAATAAGAGCCTTGCAGTCTATCAATGCATCCACCAGAGCAGAACTGCCTTTTTTGACAAGTATTGCAAAGCAAGATATCACAGGAGTCCCGTAGCGTAGTGGTTGGAGCACTCGCCTCACAAGCAAAAGGTCCCAGGTTCGATTCACGGGCGGGCAAAATCTTAGGCAAGTTTCCTTACTCCACATACATTTGTTTACCTAGCAGTAAGTAGGAACCCGGTTGTTAGTAAATTGGCGGATCGCTTTCTGGATGTAATAAATCCCTCAAAAAAAAATTGCATGACAATGCATGACCGTTTGTGGGACACTGCTGTGTGTGCAATTGGCTCCCGTGTTTCAGCCACAAAGTACACAGTCAATCCATTTTACAATATATTCTGTGAAGTGCTTTGAGACTTCTCAACGACATAAGGCGCTGTATCAAATGCAACTTTTTTCAATAATGTTACCTGCAGATGTTCAAGAGACTGCACAGCTGGACTCTCAAACAGCAGTAATTTCAGGCCCCAGTAGAGTTGACAGTACATTCAGTGGCACTGAAGTGCATTGGATGCTCTAGCAACACATATACTGAAGAAAAGCCATTCACAAGAGCATATAGTATGTGTACAGATCCTGGACTGATACCTTCCTTTTGCAATTCAGAGAGAAGAAAACCTTAACAAAAAGGGAAGAGCTACGTGTAGCAGCCGGGGTTACACTGCATTGGTAGATACCAACATAAGCAATCCATGGGTGCACCACTTCAACTGGTTGGGTGTCAGTCTGGCTCAGTTGGCAATAATATTGTTTTGGGTCAACAGGTTTGTGGGCTCCAAAACCCTAGATCAGGAATTTAAACTCATAGTCAAGACTGACAGTTCAGTGAATTGCTGCGGAAGTGTTGGAATATGGAGGTGCCGACTTTGAGTGAAACAATAAACTGATGACCCGTCTTCCTGTTCAGGTGGACGATGAAGGTCGCATGATCATTTTGAAAAGAGAAAGGGATTTCTCCTGGTGTACTGGCCAGATAAATTGGTCACTCATTTTATAGCTGTTTGTGAGACATTGTTGGATGCCAAGTTTGTCTACAGAATACACAGTACAATTCTATCATTTTCCGTGAAGCACTTTTCGACATTAGAGGCACTATAGCAAAAGCGAGGGTTATTATTTCTACAATAATGCGCAAGAAAGAAAAACAATAAAATAATGAAGTCATGACCTCTGCTTATTTTCCTTTTATGTTTCACTGCTACTGAAAAGCATACCAGATTGGTAAATAAACAGAACATGAATGCCGTCACCTAACTAACCAGTACTGTACTAATTATAAATGTCCTAAATAGCAGTTTTGATTACAGTCCCCATTTCTTACTTGTCTGTCTTTAATATTCAAATCGGTGTCTATGATAGATACAGAATCTACATTCCTCGCTAGAAATTCATCGTCAAATTCCTTCCAGATGTAATCGCCAAACACCACCCTGTGCCTGCTGAGCAGCTGAATGACACGTCCCCTGACATCTTCTTCCTTCACAATACTGTAAAAATAGGAAGAAACCTCGTAGCACATCACTTACAAATACATTCAGCAACAATCTACACCAGAACAGCACCACGTCTAAACTAATTAGACGTGGTTAAAAATTCTATGTTGGGACACATGTGCATGCAGAAGGCGAACTAGATGGACCTTCGCCTTTTCTCGTCCAGCATTTCTTATGTTTTTAATTTAGGTTGTCTCACCTTCACTTACCAGAGTCAGGCAGTTAATGACCCGCCTGGTCTTGGCAATGGTAATCTATGTGTAACCCTGCAAGCTCAAATTCTAACGAACAGAGTGCTCCCAGAAGGGCAAGCAGCGGCAATCTCTACAGTTTTAGCTGGTTAAACAGCAGTACCCCAATGCACACTCTGGGATCCCCTTGTCTTTTGCCAACCCGGCCTAAAGTACTCCTGAATTAGGTAAACAGGGCGCATTCCTCCGGGAAGTGAGTATTCCATTCCAAACATGGGAATTTCCCATGCACAAGTGGCAAACATATGTGGAACTTTCAATCTAGTTTTAACACTCTTTACATGGTGATGGACTTCCTGATAGGTCAGATACCTGGCTGACCATTTAAAAATTCTATGTTGGGTGACACATCAAAGCCTATAACAATATCCTCTGCATACATATTTTGTATTTATTTTGTATCCATCTCCACAGATTGTCTGTGATCATGACATTTACCATGTGAAAAACTGCAGACACAAGTCATAGTTTTTTTCAATAGTCAACTAACCCATTACTTTCTTCACCTTTCAAGATCTGGCTTTAAGTTTTCTTTTTCAAATTTGCCTTTATTTAAACATGAGAATGATCAGCTAGAATCTAAAGGACATTAGCAGCTAATTCTAAACAGGTTTGGTGGTTCTCCTCCAATATTCTCAAACTAAAATGCGATCAAGTTCGAATGCAGATAAAATCAAATCACTCACCTGTTCTGTTTTACACAGACTTCCACGTGTATTTGCATTGAATCACAAGATGGTAAAGCTTGCTTTAAATCTCCAGCCACTGTGTCCATTTATTTAATTACTAAAACCGGTTGAAAAAAATATAAAAATATAATCAACATTTGCGAATTTGACTCTATAAAACTACGACTCGAGTTTTTTTTCGCGGTGGGGAGTAGGGGGTTCTTGTAACAATTAACATTTTCTCGAAAGTACCATGGGAGCATATATTATAAAATAAATTTTGATCATTCTAACAAATTCTTTGGGACTGGTTGAAACACAAAGAATTTTCACAAGAATATCCTGTTAAAAGGGAGGCGAATACAATAACAATTTTACATTGACATCGTGCCACCGCTGTCAGGAGGATGTCTGAAAGTGCTTCACACAAAGCTGACTGGTAGCCACGGCTGGGGTGGAGGGAGGGGAAAGGTGACCGAAAAGATAGCTTTGAAGCTGGGTTTTAAAGGTTGGGAGGGACGGATCGAAGGCTTCTCCTTCTGTTTGATGCCATTCTGTAAGGAAGAGGGGAGGGGGCAGCTGGCTTGAGCTTTGGTTTAAATATTGCATCTTTTTTAAAAAAATACAGCTATCACTTTACGCAGGAGAACAACTCCCACTCCAGTTACTAGCCAACAACAATAACAACTTGCATTTAGTGCCCCTCACGCAGGGTAGCGTCCCATAGTGCTTGACGAGGCGCGACACCCAACTGGGGGGAGGTGACCGTACTCATGGTCGAAGAGGAAGGTCTTCAGACGCGATCTGAAGAGGAGGAAGGGGCAAGGCAGAGGGATAGAGGAAAACTGTTCCAGAGTTTCGGGGTGAAGTGGCTGAAGGCGCGGCCGCCAATGGTGGAATGAAGGGCACAAGGGACAGGCAGAAGGCCGGCGCCAGTCGAGCTGAGGGAGGGTTGTTGGTAAGCAGGTTGGAGCTGTAGGGAGGTGCCAGGGCATGAAGAGATTTGAAAACCAATGTCAGGATCTTGAAATCGATCGATTCGGCAATAGGCAGCCAGTGGAGCCTGGCTGGAACTGGTCTGATGGGGATGTGGAGTGTGAGTACGCGGTTGGCGGAGTTTGGGGTTGGCTGGGTCCTGTGCACGGCGGAGCTGCGGCGAGACCGGAGAAGAGGCCAATTGAAAAGTCAAGTCGGGAGGCGACGCACGCACGTTTGAGGTACAAAAGGGTCATCGCAGGGCACCAGACTGTGAAATGTCCTCCCTACCCTCTGTGATCTCTGACCGCCCCCAACCCCTCCCGCCAAACTATCGGCTCCCTCCGTCCAGCGGGTTCCGGCCTGCTTCACGTCTCCTGCCTTGCCCGCCCCACCATTGGCGGCCAGGCGGGCGGGCGGGGTGGGGGGGGAGCGAGCCTTCAGCCCCTCTGCCACCCCCCGCCCTCCGGAACTGCATCCCGCGGTCCCTCCGCCTCGCACCCCCTCCCCCCCCCACCTTGCCTCCTTCAAGACCCCGCCGTCTCAAGACCCTCCTCTTCGACCGGGCCCTCGGTCACCCTCCTACCCCTTACCCTTACCCCGCCCTGGCGGCTCTCCACCCACCTCCTGATTCCCAACCACCAGCTCCCTCCCCTCCCGCCCCCACCTCACTCGGAAAGGCGCTGAACAAACGCAATTTGTTGTTGTTGTTGTTGGCCGGCCTTCCCGCCGCCTCCCTCCGCGAGCTGCAGGTCATTCAGAACTCTGCAGCTCGTGTACTGTCCCGCACCAGTGCTCCGGGACCACATCACTCCCACCCTCGCTCGCCTCCACTGGCTCCCCATCCCCCAGAGGATCGAATTCAAGATCCTCATCCTCACCTACAAGGCCATTCACGGCTTCGCTCCCTCCTACCTCTCCGACCTACTATCCCCCTACCTACCTGCCCGTACCCTCCGTTCCTCTGGCTCCGGTCTGCTCCACATCCCCCGCCCCAACCGCCCTACCATCGGTGGTCGGGCCTTCAGCCTCTCAGCCCCCAGGCTCTGGAACTCTATCCCCAGTGCCTTCGCCGCCTCCTCCCTCTCCTCCTTCAAGGCCGGTCTCAAGACCTTTCTCTTTGACCGAGCCTTCAGCTCCCCTCTCGACTCTCTACCCCCTCCTCGCTCCCTCCCTTCCCTCCCCTCACCATGACCATTACCCCCCTCCCCCCCCCCACGACGCTCGGGTCCCGACCCAACCGTCCAGCGCCTCGGGACGTCCTCCCGACGTGAAAGGCGCTCTATAAAATGAAATCTCGTGGTGGTTGTGGTGGTGGCGGTGGCGGTTGTGGGCGCCGTTGCTGTGGCGACCACTGTGACGGTGACGGGGCTGTGAGAGACCGGAGCACATACCCCGCGGGGCTTCTCTCTCTCTCTCGACTCGAATCCGCCGCCGCTTCAGCCTACGTCACCCACCTACGCAGGCACGCAATGCGTCACATGTTCCAAGCCCCCGCCCCCCCCGCGCCAGGGTGGCGGGACGCACCCCTCCGCCCCCACCCTCACCCCGCGCGCGCCCGCCCGCCCGCCGGCCGTCGGGGCGGAAACGCCGATTGGCTGAACCAGCCGCCGCTCATCGTCGCCCCGCCCCCCCCCCTGCGTCGGCGGACCGCGCCGCTCATTGGTGCATCCCGCCTGCCACTCAGCCGAACGTCGCTCTGTGCTGTGATTGGCTCCTTCTCTCTCTTTCTCGCTCTCTCTCTCTCTCTCGCTCTCTCTCCCCCTCCCGCCCCTCCCCCTCCGCCTCTGTGCTGGAAACTGACGGAACAAAGGAGGCCGGAGAGAAGAGAAACGCGCTTGCGCGTGGCTCCACTTCCTCGCGGCGCAGCACCACCCCACCCCACCCGCTGGCCCGCTCGCGCGCGCGCGCGCACGTCCCCCCGCCCTCCCTCCCTCCCCCCCCCCCCCACCCCGTGCCGCCCCAGTAACGGTCAGTGCGCGAGAGGCGAGCGGAAGTGGTGCGCAGAGGCCCCGTCCCCCCCCCCCCCCCCTCCCTCCCTCCTCCCGTGGTCTCAGGACGACGTCTGGGCGGCCGTTGTCAGCAATGGGCAAGAAACACAAGAAGCACAAGAGCGAGTGGCGCTCGTACGACGGTCAGTGAGAGGGGGCGGGAGAGGGAGGGACGGGGAGGGGGACGGGACAGGGGGAGAGGGAGGGTGAGGGAGAGGGAGGGACAGGGGGAGAGGGAGGGTGAGGGAGAGGGAGGGACAGGGGGAGAGGGAGGGAGGGAGAGGGAGGGACAGGGGGAGAGGGAGGGAGGGAGGGACAGGGAGGGAGGGGGAGAGGGACGGGGAGAGGGAGGGAGGGGGAGAGGGAGGGAGGGACAGGGAGAGAGGGACAGGGGGAGAGGGAGAGAGGGACAGGGAGAGAGGGACAGGGAGGGAGGGACAGGGAGAGAGGGAGGGACAGGGGGAGAGGGAGGGACAGGGGGAGAGGGAGGGAGGGACAGGGGGAGAGGGAGGGAGGGGGAGAGGGAGGGACAGGGGGAGAGGGAGGGAGGGACGGGGAGAGGGAGAGGGAAAGAGGGACGGAGATAACAGGGGGAGGGAAAGAGGGAGGGAGGGACAGGATGGGGAGGGAGGGAGGGAGGGACAAGGGGAGAGAAAGGTGGGAAGGGAAATGGGGGGAGGGAGGGAGGGAAAAGGGAGGAGAAAGGGGTGGAAGGAGCAGGACAGGACGGAGGGAGAAAAGAAAAGGGAGCGGAGGGCGGTGACCCTGCGTCGTCTCACACCAGTGGGCGGTGTGTTTCCATGTATTTTGAAAATAATGGCTGACCACGACGACGACAACAACGACAACAACAATCCTTGCGTTTGGCATCGGGGTTCTTTTGAGACGTCGCGCGGCGGACCGTGAAGTCAGTGCTTCGTGGGCGAAGGGGCCGTCGGCGGTGGTCCCACGACCCGTCGTGGATCGAGCGAGCGATTCCTTATTTTTTTTGGGGGGTGGGGGGGGGCGCAAGGAATTATTACCCCCGTGGAGCAAAAACGTGGCGCCTCGGGGACCTCCTCCCGACGGGAAAGGCGCCGTGTGAATTGCAATTCGAAGGGTGAATGCTTCTGCCCCCCCCCCCACCCGCGGGGAGACAGGCAGTCACTCCGCTAACAAAGACTCCCATGTCGACCACAGGACCTGTCAGACCCTTTTTTATAATAACAATAATCCTTTTGCATTTGATATAGCATCTTCTCACGTCTTTGAGACGTCTCGGAGCGCTTCACAGGCTGTGCCGTCAAGTGAATTGACTGTGTTTTGTGGGCAAAGCTTACCTCAGGCGAAATTCACCTCTCGAGCATTGTGGCAAACTCGCTCTTGGATCCCGTCTTCACAAAAAAGTTCTTAAGAATAATTGTACTTGCCTGTCTCTAGCTATTTTAGGAAGCTCAAACGTATTGAGTAAAGTAATAATAATAATAATAATCCTTGCATTTGATATAGCGCTTTTCACGTCGGGAGGACGTCCCAAAGCGCTTCACAGAACACACTGTAAAGTGAATTGACTGTATATTTGTGGGTGAACACGGCAGCCAATTGCGCACAGCAATGTCCCACAAACAGTCGTTGATTGAAAATGACCAATTTATTATTGTTTTTGGTTTTGGAGGGATTATTATTAGGCTCTGTGTGGAGTAAGGAAACTTGCCCAAGGTTTCGCCCTCTGCCTGGAATTGAACTCAGGTCTCTCACTTGCAAAGCGAGTGCTCTAACCACTGAGCTACAGGACTCCAAAGTAATATAACACATGTCACATGGCAGTCTTTCTTATTGGCCTGGCTGAAAACCTGGGCCAATAGAAAATTGTGAAAATATTTGCTAAACATTGCAGGAGAATTTGACAAATTTTGCTGGAAAATGCTGGGGTGATGTTGAATGGTTCATTTTACTGCCAAGCGACATTTTTTCACTTTACTGATGCAACCTAAACGTGAAGAAATCGGACATTAAATTGGTGCAACAAAAAAATGAATGCTTTCATTAACAATAACTGGGTGGGCTGCTCGGGGGTGACAGCAACACAGACCCCAAGGGGCGAATGGTCAGTTTCCACCCCGCACTACATTTAAAGGCCTGGAGATCTGCCAAACACCCACATTACATTGCTTCCCAAGCTCGCCAGTGTCTTGACTGCGGGGCTCCAGGAGGTCAACATTTCCTGACTCTCGGGACTGACACCGTGCACAGACACACGGAGAGACACACAGAAAGAGTGACACACACCCAATCACACACACAGACACTGAGAGACACACAGACAGACATACAGAGAGAGATATATACTCACATAGATACACTTACAAACAGACACACGTACAATCTCAACAGTAGGGCCTGGGTTGAGCGAAGCCTATTTCCCGCTCGCGCCGCACATGTGCTTCCAGAGCCGCTCTGCCCACAGTAGAGTCGAGTCCTGTAGCTCAGTGGTTAGAGCACTCGCCTCGCAAGTGAGAAACCTGGGTTCGATTCCCAGCAGGCAAAACCTTGGGCAAGCTTTCTTACTCCACACGCCTGATAATAATCCCTCAAGAAAAAAAAAATAATAAATTGGATCACTTCAATCCACGACTGTTTGTGGGACACTGCTGTGCTCAATTGGCTGCCACGTTTCGCTCACAAATATACAGTCAATTCACTTGACAGTATATTCCGTGAAGCGCATTGAGACGTTTAGAAGACGTCAAAAGCGCTATATCAAATGCAAGGATATTATTTTATTACTATAGTGTCGAGTAAATAGTCAATAGCAGCGCACAGACCCCAGGGATCGGGCAGACTGCATTTTTAGAGATTTTTAGCAGATGAGGTTGTTTGTAGTGGATTCCGCAGAAAAATTGCAGCCGGACTTTTCTATTGGCCCAGCCTAAAACCATTTAGAAATTACTTGTACAGAGTAAATTTAAACTATAATAACATAACAATACTGCTTGTGATTGATACAGCGCCTTATCAAGTCGGGAGGGAGTCTTGAAGCACTTCACAGTACACACTGCAGTGCATCGTTTTTTTTAAAAGGAATTGTTACCCCCAGAAAAGCGGTCCAACAGTTGACTAACAACCAGGTTCATACTTACTGCTAGGTAAACAGAAGTGTGTGGAGTAAGGAAACTTGCCCAACATTTCCCCCTGGCAGGAATCGAACCCAGGTCTCTTGCTTACTCTAAACACAGAGTTAAGCCAGTAATTTGCAGGAATTTACTGTACTAGGAACATAGAAGCATAGAAATTAGGAGCAGGAGTAGGCCATTTGTCCCCTCGAGCCTGCCCCGCCATTCAATAAGATCATGGCTGATCTTCTAACGTAACTCCATCTGCCTGCCATATCCCCATATCCCTTAATCCCTCTCAGCTCCAAACACCTTCAATTTGTGATGTTGGCTGTGCCACCTGAGGAAGTGTTCAGCAAAGGGCAGGTACCAGTGGCAAGAAAAGGGAAAGGGTACACTGGTTATACCGGCCTTTCCCCAAACAGATGGTAGCAGAATTGTAGTGATGGTAAACTAAGAAAAGGATCTATTTTCTTTCCCATCTTCCTGAGATTGACGGAGAATGCACAATCACTACACCTGCAAACATATAATAAACCTTGCATACAAAAAACATGAACTACAATCAGATAACTAGCCCAAATGTAAACACCTGCTTTATTATTGGAGACGTTCTTGCTTGTGTATTAAGATTTTTTTTCTTTTTTTAAAACAGATTTCACTGATAAACCAACTGAAAAGCCACTTAAGCTAGTACTGAAGGTGGGAGGAAGTGAAGTCACTGAGCTCTCGGGCTCAGGACATGATTCTAGTTATTACGATGATCGATCAGACCATGACAGGGAGCGACACAAGGAAAAGAAAAAGAAGAAGAAAAAGAAGTCTGAGAAAGAAAAAGATAAACATATTTCAGATGAAGACCGTCGGAGGAGGAAGGCAAGTAGTCAAACTATTAATTAATTCTTCACTTAGAGGTTCTTGAATTTTAGTGTTGGTACAGAAGGTATAGTATTAGAAATCTAACCTCAGTTTTACAAAGGTGGTTGCATGTCTGTGACACAGTAGAAAGGTCTGTTTTGCCATGAAATAAGTTGTGTATGCAAGCATCTTATTCTCCGACAAACAAACTATAGATTCCAACCCAGATCTTCAAGAGATGATGAACAAAGCAGTTTGTTTTAGAATCTCAGTGGCAGAATTGATCAGTAGTGTACACATGATCAATGCTTTTTTTAAATATTGTGGCTCAGGGGTCTTTACTTCCCCACATCCAAGCCATGACCCGCTCTGCCTTCCCTCACCTCCTTAACATCACCCGACTCCGCCACTACCTCACCCCTCAGGTCGCTGAAACTCTTGTTCGTGCCTTCATCACCTCCAGGATCAACTATGCAAACTCCCTGCTTGTCGCCTTCCCAACTCCTCCCTCCACAGGCTGCAGATAATCCAGAACTCTGCAGCCCGTGTCCTCTCCCGCACCAAACTCCATGACCCCATCTCCCATTCTTGCCCAACTCCATTGGCTCCCTATCCTTCAGAGGATTCAGTTCAAGATCATGGTCCTCACCTACAAAGCCCTCCATGGCCTCGCCCCACCCTACCTCTGGGATCTCCTAACCCCCTATCAACCTGCCCGCTCCCTCCGCTCGGCCCACTGCGTCCTGCTTCACGTCCCCCGACACACCCGCCCCACCATTGGAGGAAGAGCCTTCAGCCACTCTGCCCCCACCCTCTGGAATTCCATTCCCCAATCACTCCGTCTCGCCCCCTCCTTAGCCTCCTTCAAGTCCCGCCTCACAACCCTCCTCTTCAGCCATGCCATCAGTCACCCCCTTCTCCCCTCCCTTCTCCCTCCCTGACCCCAGCTTGGGTCTGAAATGCTGTACACTGTCCAGCGCTTTGGGACGTCCTCCCGACGTGAAAGGCACTATACAAATCTAATCTTGTTGTTGTTGTTAATGATAACGAGTTCCAAAGCCTTGGCAAGGAAGGGCAGGTTGGAAATGGGTCGGTAATTTGTGAGGTTGCAGGGATCAAGGATGAGGAGGGAAGTGACAGCGGTTTTAAGGGGGAGGAGAGCGCGACTGGTTGACTGTCGGCCAGCAGCAGAGAGAGGAGGGGGAGTTGGGTGACCAGCAACAGGGTGGGGAGGGGGTCTAGGCAGCAGGTGTTGGGCTTCATCTGGGAGATGGTGGTTGAGAGGAAGTAAAAGGGGCAAAGGAGTTTAGGAAACGGGGAATGGTAGAGTCTGTTGTGGAAGGAGGGGGTGATGTAGATGGTCTGGGAGGTGCGGAAGGGCACGTAAGGAAGGAGGATGCAGCCAAGTGGATATTTTCAATTTTTGACATGAAGAGTACTAGGATCTCTTTGCACTTGGTGTTTGAGGTGAGGATGGAGGGGTGAGTAGATGAGTTGATGGATGGTGGAGAACAGTGCCTTTGGGTTGTTTTTGGCCAACTCTGTTTTTGGCCAGAGATATCGACTTTACTCATTTTGAAGCTTATCCGCTATCTTCTGCTCACGAGATTCAAACAATTACGATGCCAGTACCGGGATTTGCCGGCATTTTTTCAGCACCGAAAAATACCAGTAAATGCTAGTATTGGCATTATAATTACACTTAGCTGGAAATTCTTGCTCGCCATACCGGATCTCCCCACTTCCCCAATTGGTCCGACTGCAAGCGCTTTTAATGTATATGTTTTCTTTAACCTTTTGTGTGCGTGTGTGCGTGCAGTCCCAGAGGGTAATTAATGCCAAACAGGTTGCCAGGAAGTGTGGTTGAGGCCAGCATCGTCGATCATTTAAAAAGCATCTTGGTCTGTTATGGGAAGATGGTAGGGTGGGTATTCTGGAAGAATGGGATCAAATCGGTGAAGGGCCTTCTTCATCTGAACTAATCTTGTGATCTTTGCAGCCATCAATGGCTACATATGTTTCCCAAAAGAGAGACTGGTTGTGTTCAATGCTAAATAAATACTCCTCAATTTTACTCAGTGGCGCAGGTTAACTCTTGTTTACCAATATATTTTGCAGTATTTAACGGTTAAACACTTCTCAACAGACAGACTTTTTCACAAACATATTTCACTAATGGAGGAATTAAGACATCTGTTTGTGACTGTTCTCAATAATCCTCAAATTGTCAAATGTCAGAAAATATTTGAGTTCTATTAATTGACTTCTAGGTCAGAAAATATAATCCAATATGTTAATGGTTAAATATTTTTGTATATTAAATCATCTCTGAAAACACATTTTTAACTGATTACTCAGAGCCTCACAAAGTAATGTGCTTGGCATCATGTTGAATGTTGCCCAACGCATTCAGTTTGCATCTTTTAAGCACCACATCTGTCTTTTCTCCGTAATGGCTCAAAGGCAGTGACTAAATTTCATGTTGAGCCCATGTCCAGATTCAACATGGGCACTGTACAATATTCAACTACTATACATTTGCACCAGTTTGCTTGCTGACCTATTTGCTTGTTTGAAAATTCACAATTGATTGTGTCACCTTGTGGGAAGATTTTTCACTTTTCTGCGCACTGCATGTCTACTGAGCTAACTATTTAACGTGTGTTCTCTAAGAGGGGAATCTGACTGGAAGGTGAAGTTTTACACAAGTTCATATTTGCAATGAAATTGCTAAAGGACTTCTTTTGCATGTTGGCGATTTCTTGTTCTGTGGTTGCACAGGTTAAAATTAGAACCATTTCCGGCAGGTGGTGTTCACCAAATATCGTTCTAGTTGGATAGGTGCATCTAATGAAACGGCTGTGTGAGTACATTTTACTAATTAGACTGTATTCTAATAGGAAGAGAAGAAACGAAAGCGTGAAAAGGAACATGTCGACAGCGAAGCAGATGCTGATGAATTTGACCCAGGAAAAAGGGTGGAAGTTGAGCCTCCTACAGATCGGCCAGTCAGATCATGTAGAACAAAAGAACACGGTAGAGAATCTGATCATAATTTCTTTTAAGTTTTATCTCTCTTTGAGTGGACTGATTGTAGGCAATTATTAGGCAGGTTTGATATGAAGTGCACAACCCACCATCATTGACTTCAGCCACTACGCCCCTAAACTCTGGAATTCCCTGCCTCAATCCCTTGGCCTCGCCCTCTTGATCTTTAAATCTCACAAAAGTCACCACATATGGTCGCCGCCGTGTCCTTCTGCCTTGCTTGAAGTCTAACCCCGCACAGTGCTCCAAAACATTATCCTGCGTGAAGGGCGCTATATAAATCCAATTTGTTGTTGTAATTTATATAACTGGAAATATAGAAGGATCTGAATAGATTCAGGAGTTAGGCTGAAAATGACAACCGTAAACATGAACAGAATGATGAGATGAAGAAAGGAGAATTAATATTGGAAATATAAACAAAATAATAGTCTGCACGGGGTGATACAATTGAGGGATTTTGGAGCATTAGTGGATAGATTGAAATTAATCTATTCAGTCACACTCCCAAATTATTCATCTCTTCTCCCAACTTTACTGTGTTTTTTTGGGGAGCACTAGAATCTTAGTATTTGGTTAAGTTCTTCACTAATAAAACAACTTTTTTCCTTTAAAAGTAGAAAATGAGAACACTCCACTGCAGCAATTGTTGGAGCATTTTTTGCGTCAGTTACAGAGGTAAGCTGTGTAATTATTTTTTGGGGGGATTTCGGTGTCTGACATTTAGGAAACAATCACCATGCTTAGGAGTATCTAAACTAGATAGAGTTCCATGCATGCCACCTACACATGAAAATTCCTGTGTTTGGATTAATAATAATAATTCTTGCATTTGGTATAGCACCTTTCATACTAAGAGAAAATCCCAAAGCGCTTTACAGGGTTTTAGTGTGAAATTGAGTCACTGTGTATTTGTGGGTGAATGAATGCAGTGTGCACTCTCTCCCAAGAGGGATGATTACTGCTTACCTAATTCTAGAGATTATCAAATTTTACCGCTCCGCCCTCGCCTCCTCTAAATTGTCGTTCTGCTCCAAGACAATCTTGGAAGCTAAGGACAACCCTAGGCTCCTCTTCTCCATCACCAACCAGTTCCTACGCCCATCCTCTCAAGCCTCGCCCATCCTCAATGCCAACTGCGAGGCGATGCTGGACTTCCTCAAAACCAAAGTCGAGAGGATCTGCTCAGCTGCCTCTGCCCTTCCATCTATTACCCCCTCCCCATCTACCCCTCACACCCCGGCCCTTACCCATCCCTCCCTCCACACCTTCGAACCTGTCTCCCACTCTTCTCTCACCACCACTATAACCCACACGAAAACGACCACCTGCTCCCTCAACCCCATCCTACCCCTCTCCTTACCTCCCAGCTTCACCTTCTTACTCACAGCCATCATAAACCATCCTACCCATAAGCCATCCTACCCCTCTCCTTACCTCCCAGCTTCACCTTCTTACTCACAGCCATCATAAACCTCTCCCTCTCCAGTGGCACCATTCCCACCCCTTTAAAACCGGAAGTCATCACTCCTATCCTTAAAAAAAACCTCCCTGGACCCATTCCTGCTCTCTAACTACCACCCCAACTTAAACCTCCCTTTGCTTTCCAAGGTCTTGGAACAAGTCATTGCTTCCCAGCTTCACTTCTTTCTCTCCTGCCACTCCCTTCATAAACCCCTCCACTGCTGCCTTCAATTCTGTTGATCACTCTATCCTTATCTACCGCCTCTCCTCTCACCTCAACCTTCATAGTTCTGTCCTTGAAGGTTTCAGATCGTACCTCTCACACCATCACCACTTCATCTCCCCAAGTGTTTTCTCCTCTAGCCCCTGCACCATCTCATGCAGCGTTCCTCGGGGCTCTTGGTCCCGTCCTCTTCAATGTCTATATGCTCGCTCTTGGTGACATCATCTGCAGACATGGGGTCAACTTCCACATGTGTGTGAATGACACCCAACTATATCTCTCTGCCTCCAGCCTTGACTCCAGGACCACTGCTGTCCTGACAGAATCAAGTCCTGGATGAGAGTTAACTTTCTTCAGTTGAACGTCAACAATATCGAGGCTCTCCTGATTGGCTCCCGTCATCGCCTCTTCACCTCAGGCGCTGACAGCATCACCATCCAAGGATGCGACTCCACCTCACTAAGCCAGTCCAGAACCTTGGTGTCTTGTTTCACCCTCAATTATCCTTTCTACCGCACATCCATGACATGACCTGGTCTGCCTTCCCCCACCTCAGCAATATCTCCCGGTTCCGCCATTGTCTCACATTGCAGGCTGCCGAAACCCTCATACACGCATTCATAACATCCAGGCTTGACTATGCAAACTTCCTGCTTGTCGGCCTCCCCACCTCCTCCCTCTGTAGGCTGCAGATCACCCAGAACTCTGCAGCCTGTGTCCTCTCCGGCACCAGGCTCCGTGATTCTATCACTCCCATCCTCGCCCGACTCCACTGGCTTCCCATCACATAGAGGATACAGTTCAAGATCCTGGTCCTCACCTTCAAAGCCCTCCGTGGCCTCGCTCCCTGCTACCTCTGTGACCTCCTACCCTTTACCAAACTGCCCACTGAGCAGGCTCCAGCCTGCTTCACGTCTCCCACCTCGCCTACCCCATCATTCGCAGCCAGGCCTTAAGCCACTCTGCCACCACTGCGGAACTCCATCCGCAGTCCCTCCACCTTGCCTCCTTCAAGACCCACCTCAAGATCATCCTCTTTGAAAGTGCTTTCAATCAGTCTCCTTCCGCCCCTGCCTTCCATCCTCCCCAATCCCGAACCCCACCTCAGGTCCGAAACACTGACTGTCCAGCGCCTGGGACATCCTCTCGGCCTGAATGGTGCTGTACAAATGTAATTTTGTTGTTGTAGAGTGTATTAGGCATAGGTTAGACTAGCCAAGGCTTGGAGATCTCAGAGTGTATGTTGAGGTATTGCTGGAACTTAATCAGCTAACAACACATAGATTTCCATTGAAAGCCCCATCTGGCAAGGTTTCTACTGATTGTCCAGCTAGGACAGGGTTTTAGCTTACAGGATTAATCTGAACTGATTGGTAATAAGACCTTCTCCCAGTGACTGGTCTGCCTCTCCGAGGCAATGTCCTGGAATACTATGGACCCGCCTGGCTCAGGAACCGATCTACCAAGAACGCCATAGAGGATTGACTTCACTCCGACATTTCATTGTGAAGCATTTCACCCTGAAGCCAGTTGAGCTCCAAGGAGAACCCGTTAACCTTTCCTCCCTAACCCCCACCCCCGCATGGATTGTCACTATTTGATCATTCACATTCGACAAGAGCCTGTTGAGACCTCACTAGATACATAGCAGGTACCAAGTCCTCCCTGCAAGCTTCCTGGTGAGCAGCTCAGTTCATACAGACAGATACTCTTTTTCAAATAGTTTTGTTTTACAGGATTATTTTGTGGCGCTCTATAATTATACACTTTCTTCAGTAGCTGTGGAGTGGAATTTTTAGGTAAAATAATAATAATAATTCTTGCATTTGATACAGCACTTTTCACGTCTTCTAGACGTCTCAAAGCGCTTCACAGACTATACTGTAAAGTGAATTGACTATATTTGTGGGCGAAATCCAGCAGCCAATTGCGTACAGCAGTGTCCCACAAACAGTTGTGGATTGAGTGACCAAATTCTTTTTATTTATTTTGAAGGAATTATTACCCCCAGAAAAGCGACCCGCCAATCGACTAACAGCCAGGTTCCTACTTACTGCTAGGAAAACAGAAGTGTGTGGAGTAAGGAAACTCGCCCAAATTTTCGCCCTGCCAGGAATCGAACCCAGGTCCTCTCGCTTGCGAGGCGAGTGCTCTAAACACTAAGCTACAGGACTCCACGTAATTTGCTACTATGGAAATACATTTTATTTCAATAATTTGCGTATCATACCTTCCTGTTTTATGAAGTGAGTTAAGCCTTCTACCAAAATAACTCTTTTGTAGTCCAAGAATGATCAGATATGTCAGGAGATGGAGGGAAAAGGAAGATTGCAAACTGGAGTTTACATTGATGGTTAATGCTTTAAATAATGTTTTTCTTCTTCTCAGGAAAGACCCTCATGGATTCTTTGCATTTCCTGTGACGGATAGCATTGCACCTGGCTATTCAATGATAATAAAACATCCAATGGATTTCAGCACCATGAAGGATAAAATCTTGACAAATGATTACAATTCCATCACAGAATTCAAGGTAGAGATAATATCTAAGACTCTTGTTGAGTACGGAGAGTGTATTGTTTGTCATATGATGAAGCATGTATTGATCGTGCACTTTGTCTCCATGTTTGCTCAGCAAACTAGATTTTTTAAATTATACAGTTCCAACATTAATACATTTTAAGCTACCTTTTGTTTTTTTTCCTCCTTTAATTGGAGGCTGAGAAAAGATTTAAAAAGATTAGGATTTTTCGTTCTTCACCAGGTTTCCTGTGTTAGATTTATTGTGGGGATACATGCTTAAAAGTATCAAACCGAATTGAGAGCTTTGTGCATCCCACCCGTCCATGGAAATTCCACAGATATTTGTTGGGATGGAATGCGCACTCCTTCCCTCTCTCTTGCAATGGAGAGAACTGTTTGGCCAGCCTACCCCTGCTTGTCCAACTAGAACCACCCTTCCCATTAGGGCTTTGACTTGCAGGAGCCGAGTGGGATGATTCCCTGCCCCTAGTGAGTAGTCTGGCCTTCCAAGTCTTGCTGATGAGTCAGCCTGAAATAATGCGGACCCGCCTGGCTGAAGAACCAAACTGCTGAGACCGCCACAGAGGGGTGGCTCAATTCTTACATTCCGTTGTCAAACATGACACCTTGGGGCAGTTCAGGTCGAAGGAGACCCTGCTTGTTCAGATCAGTTGCAGAGGGTTTTAACTCTGCTTGTCTCTACTGAGTTTTAATTCCAGTAATACTTAAACATTTGAAAATTGTCTGTTTTTCAAGAGGAAGATCTGACTTATGATACAAACTTGCACTCAAATATAGAAAGGGAAATGAAAGGCTGCCTTGCTGATTGAAAGCAGAATTAGAATTTCCTCGAACAGAGTTGTATTCTAATGCATAAAGTAGACGTAAAGTAGCACGGCCATTCGCTATCACTTCTAGATTTGCTGGGGATGTTGCCGATGTTACTGAGGCACACTCCACTTGTCATGCACATGAAGTCATCCAGTCAGTGGTGACTCCTCACAGTCACTCCAGTGGTTGGCTGGAGTTGCTGCTGATATCAAATTAAATGTTGTCTCAGGACTTCTAATATGCTTTTTGTTCATCAAAAGTCCTGAAACCATCTGCCTGAATCACAGCAGCAAGATTTAATTCTAGGACCCTACCCTGCGTGAGAGGCGCAGTACAAATTGTTGTTGTTAATTGATCTTATGTGTCCAATTCCAGTGAACTATTGCACACGAATACATTTTTTTTGTATGTGGGATTTGTCATAAGCACAATAACTTTCAGTCCTTTTTATTTTTTTGCTTGCAGGCTGATTTCAAACTAATGTGCGATAATGCAATGACTTACAATCGACCCGAAACCGTATACTACAAGGCAGCGAAGAAATTGCTTCACACCGGATTTAAGATGATGAGTAAAGTAAGATTCATTTTACTTGGGGGCCAATGAGGTGGTGTGTAACAAAATTATTGTCAAGTAGTGATGGGTCACCACAACAGTTTGTTGCTCGAAGCTGAGGTTTTAGCTTGCCAGTTAAATATTTATTTGATGAGGCCTCCTTATAACAAACTATGAGAGGTACTCAGATTAAGTAATACTGAGAGAAGAGACAAAAATTACCAACTGGTTCAATCCAATTAATATAGCAATAGTCTTGGATTAGATTTTTCATATTTTCGTTCTTCTCCAACTACCAGTGAAATGCACTTATAGTAATTTTGCTGGAGCAAGCAAGAGACGATGTTTGTGTTGAGCTGTCGCTACTGTGAGTGATCCATTCTGTGCATAATTCAGCTATTGCACCATCATTTGTATTGCTAGGACTACCAGAAACTACCTTTATAGTGGAAGAGTTTTTGTAATATTCTTGAAATGCATAATTGAAGTAAGTTAACATTTATTGTTTTTTCTATGCTGTTATGTTTTTGGTTGTAAACATTATATTCAGTAGTGTGTGTTCAATAGTGTGTATTGCTTTTTGTGCAGTTGGGCCCATTTTAATGTTATTGGAAGTGATTTTCAGCATCCCATTGAATATTTTATTTTTTCCCCATCACCCTTTTGCGATCCTCCATTGTGATTTTGCAGACTGTAGAGTCTTTGCTGAAATGTGCCGTACACCACATGTAAACATGAGTGATGTACTTCATTGAGCCATGATCACAATGGTCATCTGAAATCACCCTCATTTGCAGGAGTGTCAGTCATAAAAACACAGGCAACATCAATGACCAGCTACCACTGTGTGCTGTGCATGTGCATGCAGCTCACCCCAGCACCTGGGGAGAAGTAAAAAGCGTGCCCTTCTGTGTTCTCTGCTTACAGGAGCGCCTGTTAGCTTTGAAGCGCAGCATGACATTCATGCAGGAGATCGATTTTTCTCAGCAGGCAGCACTGTTAGGTGATGAGGATACAGGACAAGAAGAAACTGTTGCAGAAGTTACTGTGGTGCCCGTTGAAACTACTACCAAGAAATCCAAGAAGCAGAGTAAAGAAGTCATCAGGTAAATAGAAATTCATTCTTTCCCTTCGTATCAAAGGATTTAAAAATGGAGTGGAATAATGTAATGCAATGTTGATAAGCAGTGACTTCCACATTTTGAAGATCTCAAAAAGAATCTGCTGTATGAATGAATGCTAAGTGTCCTATTTGCTGAAATGTTGCTGGCTGAATCAGTATTCTCCACTGATTCTCCTCACTGCTCCACCTCTGCTTCACCTCCACGTGATCTCCTTTCCTGGCTCAGCTCTTCTATTCCGGCATATTCACCTTGTGTTTTCTAGCAATTTCTCCTCTTGCGCCCGCGCAGCATTACAGGGTTACTCGGGGCTCTATTCTCTGTCTTCCCTTTCATCATCTTATGGTATTATATCTATATGCTTCATCCCTTGGTGATATCATACAATACAAAATCACATTTGTATAGCACCTCTCACGTCGGGAGGACGTCTCATGATAATGTAGTCAGGGATTCAGACCTGAGGGAGGGGGGTTTGGGGTAAAGGAGGATGGAGGGTAGGAGACCTGGATCAGACCGAAGCCTGCTGAGCAGAGTAAGCGGACAGGTTGATATGGGGTTAGCAGGTCACAAAAGTAGGAAGAAGCAAGACCGTGAAGGGTCGTGAAGGTGAGGATGAGGATTTTGAACTCTATCCTCAGGCGAGGGTGGGTGTAATCGTGTCACGGACCCTGGTGTGGGAGAGGACATGAGCTGCAGAGTTCTGGATCTGCAGCTTGTGGAGGGAAGAGTTGGGAAGGACTTAAGTGAATCTGGATATCGAGTTTAAAGCTAATCTCTTGCATCATTGTAATTTCTGTCTCAGAAAGGCCTATTTTAAGAGAGTATTCTGTTGTGGAATTGAAGGATTTAATGAATAAGAAACGGTAGTATTTGTGACAAACAGTAATGACCAAAGATTACTTTTGAATCAGCAGTAACAAACTGAAAGAACTATTCCTGGTGGAATTTCCTGAGAGGGTGTTATAGAGCTTCAAAGCCTCCAACTTTTGAAGACTTTCAGCACATTTTTGCAGTACTTGAGTTATTTCTTTGAGATCTAGTTAGTGTTAGCAGTTCTGTGCTTGCAGTAGCAAGCAGTGGATACAAAAATGTAGTGCCTGATTAATTTCCTGTTAATCAAGCGTTATGATATTTTGTTTTTCAGTTATTTGTATGAGCCAGAAGGGACCGCATGCAGTTCGACAGACAGTACAGCGGAGGAACATGTGCTAGCTTTGGTGGAACATGCAGCTGATGAAGCTCGTGATCGGATCAGTAGACACGCGCCTAACAGCAAGGTAGTTCATGGGCAGTTGGAGAATAACGTGTATAAAATTTATTTGACAACTATTCTCACTTATTTCCAGAGTCCATAAATTAAATTTTTTTGGGGTCAGCTGGATGTCTGACACATGTGGAAACCCATCACCATCCTTAAGAGTATCCATAACAGACTGAGTTCCAAACATGCCGCATGGAAATTCCTGTGTCTGTAGTGGAATGTGCACTCATTCTAGACGGATGCTGACCTAATTCCGAGAATATTAGGCTCAGATTGGCAAGAGCCAAGACTTGGGGACTGCTGGAATATGCTTGGGGTACTGCTGGAGATTAACCAGCAAAAGCTGCACAAGTTGCCATTGAAAACACTGAAATCTCACTTTAAAACCTACCTCTTCTAGTGCTTCTTTCCCCCACCCCTTCTTAATCTGTGTCTGATCTTGCTATTGTTAAGTACTCAGAGATGTTCTCCTACATGAAGGGTGCCGAATAAAATCAAGTTGTTGAACTGGTGAATAAACCATTCTCATGAAGTGCTTCTGTTGGTGTACCAACAGTATATTTAATACTGAATGACACCAATATCAATAAAACAATATACACTTATACAATATACATAACTCCTTTTGTCTCAGGAGGATGTCTCCAGTGCTTAACACAGCTGACTGAGATCCTGAATTGAGGGGCGGAACGTCTGAGGAGGGGGAAGGTGGCTGAAAGGACAGTTGAAAATATCGGCCTTAGCAGGTTTTGAATGTGGGGAGGAATGGGGCAAGTCAGAGGCCAGTGTCTGCTGAGCAGAGGGAGTGGCTGGAGCAGTAGGGTCAAAGAGATAGGATGGATAATGTAGAACTGTGATGCCAAGTTCTCAATAAGAAACATTTTGAGAATTTTAAATGTTTTACCAACAAGCGAGCAAGGCAATGTACATTAAAGAACAATACAACAACATCTTGCATTTATATAGAACCCTTCAGGTGGGGTAGCATCCTGCAGCGCTTGACAGTGGCGGAGTCTGACCACGAGCCAGAAGGAGGGGGGAGGTGACCATAGGCACAATCAAAAAGTAAGGTCTTTAGGTGGGATTTGAAAGTGGGGAGGGAGGGGCCGAGGCGGAGGGATTGAGGCAAACAGTTCAAAGCTTCGGGGCATAGCGGCTGAAAGCACAGGCACCGACAGTGGAGTGGAAGGGGCGAGGGATGAACAGGAGGCTGGAGCTGGCCGAGCAGAGGCAGCGGGTGGTGGAGTAGGGGATAACCAAATCGGATAGGTAGGGAATTGCTATTTGAAAGCGATTTAGAGGATCTTGAAGTTGATCCGTTCGGTAATTGGGAGCCAGTGCAGCCTGGCAAGGACTAGTGTGATGGGGGTACAGAGTTTTGTGCAGGTTACTATCTGGAGTTCTAAATTAATTGAATTTTGTGTATTGTGTATGGTTCACAGTTATAATATATATAACTTACCTTAAATACCACAAGTGTGCACAGACATTCTGGCCTGAGATCATAACTAGTTGCTGTTATGAAAGTGCTCATTTTATTCTCTACAGCAAACACAGAACTGTGATAATTCCAGATGTACAAGTACAATGCAACTTTTCATTTTGTTCTAATGTGCAATTTCTATTCTATTCAGATTGGCTACCTTAAAAAGGAAGGAGATGGTGCTCTGCTGTTTGCTGTTGTAAACCAATCTGATCCAGACACTGAAGGCAGGTTACATTCCGTGCTTGGTTACAGAATTGTTTCTGAAATATTCTAACCTCCTTCAATCATTTTTTATGTTTGGAAAAGTGGGAAAAAAACGTAGAATTATTTCGTCTTAGTGGTGATCTGCCCGATTGTCCATAATTGGCAAAGTGCCAAAGTATCCATTATTTTAATTCATTATCCAGAAATGCATTGAACAAGCAATGTTTTGAACTTTCTGTTGACATTTATAATTTTTTNGAAAAGTTTATTGTTACAGTAGGAATATGTAATATGCTTTGTTGCTTTGTGTATGGACTGAATATGCTTAACTTTACATGGCTGCATCGAATAGCTGTGCAAATTGATCACATCAAAAGAATGCATGTTCACAATTCAATGCTGGTGGTTGCAGAGGAAGAGATCCACCAAGTGGATCTGAGTTCCCTTACAACTAAGCTTCAACCAGGCATTAATACCATGGGATTTAAAGATGACCGGAGAAACAAAGCGTTATCAGGTAAGACTTGTCAATCTTTACCGACTCACGATTTTGAGTGTTGTTTAAAAGGACTGATGAGATATTGATGAGTGTTTCGAAAAATTCATACTATATTTTGTATAACAGTGGCTCAGCATTTGGGTAGTCTCTAAATATGCCTGGTGTCACTTGCATTCCTTCGTAACTGCTTTCCTATTGCACAGTACTTTTGTACAAGAACACGTATATTATTGGTACGATACAGCTAAAACTCGTTTGCTGAAGCAGGCAGAGGCAGCAAGCCGACATCTAGTGTTATCCCAGCAGCTGGAACTAGGAAGTGGCATCAGGGAGTGGTAGCCATATTTATAGTGCTCCATTGTTACACAAGATCTAATTTTATGGACCCAATTCATCATGTTATATAACAGGGTCGGTCTTCAATAATTAAGAGTCAATCGCTTTGTGTGTCAGCAAGGCTTATTTAGTAAGTAGTGATCGGGTCAAAGATTGTGGGCTGAAACCCAATATCGGGACTTCAGATCATAATCCAATACTGAGGGCCAGTCACTGCGAGCGGGGTTCTTTTTTCTCAGCTCCTGTTAACTCTAAACCAAAGCTCTAAGGGCTAGGGTAGTACCAGCTGGATAAAAAGTGGGAAGCTTGCCAGATAGTGCTCTCAAATGGCAAACTGGTTTTAGCTGGTTAAACTCCAGCAGTACCCCAATGCACACTCAGTAGTCCCCAAACCCTGACTGTTGCCAACCTGGCCCAATACTGTCTGATATTAGGTAAGCAGGATGCTTCTCTGTGGGGAGCTGCATTCATTTCCAGACATAGAGAAATTTCCATGTGTACGTCGAATGCTGTCTAGTTTGTGAAACCTTGTATATAAAATGGCTGTCGCATTTCCCTACAACGGGCAATAAACTTGATAATAGTTACTATAACGTGCTTTGAGACATTTTGACGTAATAAGGCATATACAAATGCAAGTTCTTTCAGTTAATGTGATCCGCATTTTAATTTAAGAATCCAAAGACAATTTTGGATTTATCATAAAATAGTCATGTTAATTATGTGTGTGACAACATGCATAAGACTAGTAAACTCACCATCGATTTTTCACCTTTGAATATACAGTAACATACCTTGAGTTAAAAGCATTTTGGATGCTTTGCTTTACCCTCTGCAGTTACCTACTTGAACTGTGTGTATACAGCACAGTCCATACAAAACAACACCGTCTTTCCCAACCTTACTCCAGAGGAAACAGAGCTATTGTATTCTACATATGGAGAAGAGACTGGGGTACAGTGCGCCTTAAGGTAATTCTGTTAATTGATATAATGTAGGAAATGTACAGGGTGTGTTCATTTTGTATTACAGCAAAAAATAATCCTTCCAGCTTCTTGGATACAAATGGAGTATTAACATATAATGATACAGAAGTACATACATTCTACAAAATGATTTCTCCATAAATAAATATTGATGTAATGTGCTTTAATGTTGCCATGGTTTATATATGAAACAATCATCAATATATTACTTTTCATCAGGCAATGTGAATTTTATATTTCAGAGCAAAATCATTTTTCATTTACATCTATTGGCATTAATCTTGTGGGCACAAAAAAGACTGCTATTCTTTGTGGTGTGCATTATTTTTAATAAAATGTGTAGTGTTGGCAAATATTAAAATCATCCATCTAAAATGACCGGAATGATTTCAGTTAGTTTCAAAGAATAATACAGAACACAAAGAATAACAGTGTTCTGTTATCCGTCAAAATATATTTCTACCTTGAAACAGCTTAATGGTTTCATTCCCATGGTTGTGGAGTCCTGTAGCTCAGTGGTTAAAGCACTCGCCTCGCAAGTGAGAAACTTGGGTTTGACGCCCGGCAGGGCGAAACATTGGGCAAGTTTCCTTACTCCACACGCCTGATAATCCTCAAAAAAATAATAATTTGGTCACTTCAATCTGCGACTGTTTGTGGGACACTGCTGTGCACAATTGGCTGTCATGTTTCGCCCAGAAATATACAGTCAATTCACTTTACTGTATATTCTGTGAAGCAGCTTGAGACGCCTGGAAGATGTGAAAAAGCGCTGTATCAAATGCAAGAATTATTATTCCTAATGTATTAAGGCCCATTTAAATTAATGGCTCCAAAATCAGTCAATTCACTACAGTATATTCTGTGAAGCGCTTGGAGAGTCTAGAAGAAGTGATAAGGCACTGTATCAAATGCAAAGATTATTATTGTTATGGAGATACGCAGTTGATTCCAAAAGAAAAATATAAATTATGGCTTGTACCATACACCTCGTACTGATTCGTAAATCCATCAAACAGTTGAGATGCCACATGACAGCAAAAGTTACACGTTTTGTTTTCCTCACGCTGTAGGATTGTAATAAAATAATTTATTTTCAATTGATTTATATCAAATTGTAAGTAAAACTCATAAGTTGTATCAGTTGGGACTATAACATTCAATATGACGTACGTCATTTCCCGTGATTCAAAGCAAACGTTAAATGCAGAAGCAATGTGGGATAGGGGAGAAGTGTTACTAGTTAGGAAGTGATTTATACAAGTAGTGCAAAGAAATCTTAAGTGGTTTAGATAGGAAACTAAATGGGATTCGGTTGAATATATGACTGAGGCGATTATATGACTTATAAAACATAAGACTTATGCTAATGTTATTGTATAAGATTTAAAAATGTTAAGTCTAAGCCAGGGATTAAAAGGTAAATTTAAAATGTAAATGTGCATTTTCTTTACAGTTTACAAGAGTTTGTTAAAGACTGTGGAGGCTCCACAAAGAAAATGGTAGACGACTTGTTGAATCAGATGACAGGTGGTGAACATTGCAAAGCAGTCTATCATTTGGCACAGGTATGTGTGGTTTGGTTGATTTATAATAAAGATTTATACAACTATTGTCATCAATAACATCCTGCAACCTAGGGTATTCTTGAAGTGTTTATATAGATTGTCCTGGCCGCCAAGTAGAGAGGGTGTCTAAGCCATTTTGTCTATGTCATTTTGGATGCGCTGGAACTTGTGGTTGGTGGAGATGGGGAGGCTGACAAGGAAGATATTAGAGAAATCCAGTCTTGAGATAATTAAGGCTGGGATAAGAGTTTCGTCCACGTCACCACTAATATGGGAGGAGATTCCCCAGCAAAGATCTCTGCCTTTAGAAGAGGCAAAATAGAGAGAAAAAAGCATGGCAGAAAAAAATGTAGTCACATCCTGTTAAAATGCAGCAGTTTGAGTCCATTAAAAATAGAGATCATGTTGTGTTTTGAACCCACATTGCCAGAAGGTCGCCATTTCTGGGTTGTCGAGTGCTGTCACTAAACTACTGCATGCAGGAAACCAGCTGGACAGTGGTGACTGCTCTTACAAGCATTTCCATCGGTTGCTAGCTTAATGATGGTGCTGGCAGGCTCTTCTGTGCCGGCCGGCATGCTTTGCATGGGAAACGGTGACTCTGCATAAGTGTATCACCCTCCTACCCCCGCTTCCATTACACTGTGGGTACACCATGGGCCTGCATTATCTATGTAACCATGGTAAACTGAAACATGGCGTAACTACATCCAACTGGACATTTTTCATGATATTAGTTCAGGTTATATTTTATTATAAGCCTGTTTTCTTTTGGGGAATAAAGAAAAATGTACAATTCATTAGTGTGTCAAATGTTGGTTTCTAAGTTTTAATAATCATAGTTTCAGTACAATTCTGGAATCCTTAAAGAGACTTGATTATCTCAGTACAAGCTAATTTTATTTCTTTAATAACTCCAGAGTTTTAAACACATTGGTGTTCAGTTGTTGATAGAAATCCACTCTTCATTTCACTGTGTTGAATGTAAATATCTGCCAGTTACTCTTAGTAACCGTCTTGCTCCAAGTGCATGTAATTTTTTAAAATTAAAATGGAATAATATACACTTGAGTACCTTTGAAATGTATTGAGTTTGAGATGTGAACTGTTAAAGCTACAATGTTTTGAGATTCATTAGGAAATGTTCTAATATTTGCACTTATTTTTCTCAGAAAAGAAATATTGAACAGAAAGCAAGTAAAGACATCAAATTGAGTCTCGACGAAGTGCAGGTGAGGCCTGCCAAATGAATATTGCACAATATTGTGGTTCTACTTCCCTCTTTCTCTGCATCTTCCATTATATTTCTATCTCCCTAACTCCAGCCTCTTTGGCCTCCAGTTCGACTGTTCGGTCCCTTGGGACAAAGTGAAAGGTGCTATGTAAATGTAACTTGTTGTTATTGAAGATGGTATTAAGGATACATGTATGAACACTATTCACAAATTCGTGGTCCAGATAACACTTCACAAGATATACTGCCACGAGTATGACTCTTTTTTTGTAGGTAAACAACATCTTTACAAATAAGAGTTCAAATCTTTTCAAACTGAGGTTTTTTTTTGCACTTTATTTATAACTCAGCCACTGAAATACTGGACCCAGATAAGCATGCTATAAACTACGTTGCCCTGTACTATGAAACAGTCAACAACAACAACAAATTACATTTGTTTAGCACCTTTCATGTCAGGAGGACGTCCCAGGGTGCTGGACAGTCAGGGATCTGCACCCGAGCTAGTGGTTGGGATCAGGAGAGGTGGAAGGTGGGGGAGGGGTAGGAGGGTGATCGATGGTGCGGTCAAAGAGGAGGGTCTTGAGACAGGTCTTGAAGGAGGCAAGCGAGAGGGCGAGGCAGAGGGACTGTGGAATGGAGTTCCAGAGGGTGGAGACAGAGGCTGAAGCCCGCCCGCCAATGAAGGGGCGTGCAAGGCAGGGGAGGTGACGCAGACCGGAGCCCGCTGAGCTGAGGGAGCGATTAGGTTGGTAGGGGTTTAGGAGGCCACAGAGGTGATTACAGTCACCAGCCATTCCATAGACTAATACGTGCTCTGCTTCAGCATGAACTCAAAGTTAAGGTAACATCGCACAACCAAATAAATGATAGGAAAGCACGTTATTTTTGTGGTTAGTATCCTCAGGGTTTGAATCAAGCTCAGAATAAGGTCATCTCTCTTGACTGTAAGCGTGCTAAGTGAAATGAAAAAGTGCGTAAAACTACTTGTACTTTAGCACAAATTGGCGGTCTCAACCAGACTGCAAGAATTAATCTTGTGAAAAATAGAAATTTCATATTGTGTTCAGTAATGGATTCCTACTTGAAGCGGCAAAAGGCAGAGTAATGCCACTATCCTGCATGTGGCTGTAATATAAGATGAGAGACTTATATTGGCGGCTGTTTCAAAATTCTGAAAATTAAAACTATTTGGGCTGAGCTTGCAACTATGTTTACATCCTACAGTTGTAATACACAACACATTTGTCCTGAAGGTTCAAACTGAATAACATTTGGTTTCTTTGCAGATCCCAGCAGTCTTCATAAAAGAAGAACCTAAAATGCAGCCCACTTGTCCTGAAACGTCTAAACCAATCGTGGTGAGAGGCTTTGAATGCTCATGAATAATCTTCTATTTGGTGTAGTGCCTTTCACTTTGGGAGAACGTCTCAAAGCGCTTTACAGGATATTTCTGTGCAGGGGAGTGACTTTTTTGGGGGGGCATAGGCAGCAACCAATTTGCACACAGAAATGTCCCACAAACAGCCATGAATTGAATGAACATTTAATTGGGCACGTGTCGGCCAGGACACTTGAGAGAAACACCTTTCTCTTTTCGAGTAGTGCCATGGAATCTTTAACATCTACCTGAACAGGCAGACAGTATTTTGGTTTGACGTCTCATCTGAAGGACAGCACATCCAACAATACATCACACCACTAGCACTGAATTAGAGTGTCATCCTACACTGTATAAGTTCCAAGTCCTGATGTGAAAATTATTCTGTAAAAGCAATGCCCAAACCCAGTGTTTTAGATGAGGTCATGTTTAGCCCCAGAATGATGTTCTTTGTATTGCACTGAATGGCCAGACAATTACTTTCTGGAAACTACTGTAACTTATCTTATTTTGTGGTAAATGGGAGCAGGGATTCTTTCCACTTGGCTCCTGTTAACCCTGAAAACCAATGTCTTATTAAGTATGGTGGTTCTGCTTGGCAAACTATGTGGTTTTAGCTGGTTAAACTACACTAGTGCCCCAACACACATTCTGCAATTCCCTAGCCTTGGCTTTTCCAACCTGTGCCTAATAATTTACAGTATTAATTAAGCATCCTTTTAGGTAGAGAGTGTGCAATATATTCCAGACACACCGACAATATGTGGAACTCTTATCTGACTACGCCAACTACCTGCTCGCTGGACTTCACAACTCTTCGTATCATAATTATTCAGAACTCTGTAGCTCGTGTCCTCTCCCGCACCAGGCTCTGCAAACCATCACCCCCATCCTTGCCTGGCTTCACTGGCCTCCCATCCCTCAGAGAATCAAGTTCAAAACCCTCATTCTCACCATCAAAGCCCTCCATGGTCTTGTTCCCCTCTACTTCTGTGACCTCCTGAACCCATATCACCCTTTCCACTCCCTCTGCTTGGCGGACACCGGCCTGCTTCAGGTCCCCTGAACTTCCTGCCCCACCATTGGTGGTTGGGTATCAGCATCTCTGCCCCCACACTCTGCAACTCTATCCCAAAATCCCTCCGCCTCACTCCCTCTCTTTCCTCCTTCAAGTCCCTTCTAAAGTCCTTCCTCTTTGACCATGTCTTTGACCACCCCCATGACCCCTACTGACCCCAACTCCCAGCTCAGGTCGAAAACCCCTGATTGTCCAGCGCCCTGAACGTCTTTACGATGTGAAGGGCGCTATACAGGTACAGGTGTTGTTTGGATACTCATAACTATGGTGATGTACCCATTTGTGAAACACCTAGCTGGCCCAAAGAAAACTACTAATTTAACTACGCGATAAATTCTGTTTTTTTGTTTCTCTCCATGTAGAAAAAGTACATTGTCTGTGACTTTGATGAGGGCAGGACTGCTCATCAAAGTTACTGGCAACATATAACCCATACAGGAGTTGTGAAATAGTTTTTTTTTCCCTTCTCATCAAAAATGTTCCAGGTTTTCAGTACTGACCAACGCTCAACTTAGTTGTTAGCTGTATGACGTTACTGAGTGAAAATAAATTGATGAGTGCTAAGGTTACGGAAGAAAAAGAGTTCTTCCTGTGGTGTTAATTGCTTTTGAAGTATTTTCCTCAAGTGGTACTGGGGAAGTTTGTAGATCCATTTAGTGCATCAGCATTAGTTAACAAGTCCTGTCCTAAAGTAGAGTCCTGTAGCTCAGTGGTTAGAGCACTCGCTTTGCAAGCGAGAGGCCTGAGTTCAATTCCAGGCAGGTCAGGGCGAAACCTTGGGCAAGTTTCCTTACTCCACAAGACTAATAATAATCCCCCCCCAAAAAAAACAATAATAAAATTGGGTCATTTTCAATCTACGACTGTTTGTGGGACATTGCTGTGCGCAATTGGTTGCCGTGTTCGCCCACAAATATACAGTCAATTCACTTTACAGTATATTCTGTGAAGCGCTTTGAGATGTCTAGAAGACGTGAAAAGCGCTATATCAAATGCAAGATTTATTATTATTATATTGTAAAGGGAATTGACTGTGTATTTTGTGGACGAAATGTGGTATCCAATTGCGCACAGCAGTTTCCCACAAACAGTCGTGGATTGAGTGACCAATTTATTATTATTATTTTGAGCGAATTATTATCCCTGAAAACGTGAACCGCCAAGCAACTTACTTACTGCTGGGTAAACAGGCGTGTGGAGTAAGGAAACTTGCCCAACGTTTTGCCTCCCCGGGAATCGAACCCAGGTCCACTCGCTTGCTAAAACTCTTTACTTTTCAAATAGTGCCATGGGATCTTTAACGTCTACCTGAACAAGGTAGATGTGTCCTCCGTTTAACGTCTCATCTGAATTTCCGGTCAGTGTTATGCGTAGTCGCATCGACGATGTCAGACACTAATGGGAATTCCCCATTAATAAGTGCGCATTGCCAAAGACATGACACAAGTTAAAAGTTATATCCTCATGTTTCTTTCCAAACCTACTGTAGGTTGGAGGGGCAAGTGGCAGTACTGGAGAGAACCAACCCCCTGTCCTAGATTTCATGCCTTTGAAATCTTACTCTGACGTTTCCTTGGATATTTCTCTATTGACTTCATTAGGTAAGTAACATTGTGATCTAAAACCAAAAAAATTATTTCAACTAGCTGAATCACCCGAGTCCTAACTTATTACTTGAAAATGGTTAAATATTTAATCTGCTTTTACCACAGTCGGGCCTCCTTATAAAGTGAGTGCTCTTTGGACGGGTGGTTGGTTTCAGCGCTCAGACCAGTCGGTTTCCAGCGTACATAAATTGTCCAAATTCCACGTCATCAAGTCACCATCATTTTCTGCACTTTTGTATATACAATGTGTATAATAACTGCAAGTGCATAGCTTGTATTCACAGCATGAAGGAAGTGGTGTTGACAGCAATATGGTGAGCTGGTAGTTAGACTTTTTGGCGTGCTTCATTGTGCCGGAAATGGTAACAGCCATTGTGTTTAGTAGAACCATATTCTACAGAACCAGTTAAGATGAGGGAAAGATTCATATGCTTGTACTTTCAATTACATGGAAATCCATATTACCTGGAAGATTTGTGTTGGAACACACTACTTACTGACTTGCTTTTACTTTTGAACCGGGAATGATTGGAGCAAGTTGTAAAAAAAAAGTGTTACGCTGCTTATGGTGGAGAAAAAATATAAAGAAGTGTGTACAGACGGGGCAGAGGCTGTGGCTGTTCCAGACAAGTTTGGAGTTGGAATTTCCACAGAGTTTGATGCAGAAGCGGAAGGATAAGCTGCTGGTGTTTACTCAAAAGTTCAAAAGGGGAAAAAAAAAGTCTTCAACTCTGCTTTCTTCACATGGGTCAAAAACAAACATACTGAAGGTACTATGTTCCCACCTAGTCCAATATCTGGCCTTATTCTGCTGGAAAATCTGTGAGGTTTGTGAAAGAGTTTGAGGATAACGGTTTTCATTGGAGTGTGGGGTAGTTAATACAACAAAACAAAGGAGGGTTGTTTTCATCTATACTATGGGCAAAACATTCCATGCCCAATTTGCAAAATGCATTTAAAAGTGATTGTATTTTATTCTGTATTCCTGTGCATTTTGTTTACTAAATTGCATTAATATTTGGTAATCTGAACTGCTAATCATCTGGACAGAAAACAGTGGATACAATGGAACAGAGTCATTTGGATAATCGGCGATATGGTGCATATAACAGGACAATTCCTATCCTATGTTTAAAGGCAAATATATCATTTGCATATATTCTGATTACATATGCAAATATTTTATTTTGTGTTATATTTACTATACTATATTTTTCTATAATCTGCTACAAAATATTAATAGAATATCTTTTTATATCTTATGTAACATCTGGCAGTATATTTTAAGCAGTAATTCAATCTTGTGTTTTATTGTTTTTATGAGCTCTACCTTCCTTATGGTTTGATGTAACTGAACTACGCTCTTAATCAATGGTTTCAAGCTTGCTACCAATCATTTCATCTCTATAATTGAGATGTGTTTTTTGTCAAACTCATCCTCAGTGTTAGAATTGTATTAAGGATTATATGTTTTGAGGAGTTAATGCAAAAGTGTTGTGGAGAAAGTGTTAACTTTTTTTTTCCTCTCCTCTTCTGAGTCACTTACATCGACACTTCCTCAAGCAGCTGGTTGAGTGAGCGAATATGGTTCAGACTCCACTGCAACATCTCAACTCCTGCAGATCCATTGATAATTGCTGTCATTTGAACATTTCCACCTGGGTAGTTATGAGGTTTAATTTTTTTTATATAGTCAGCATTCGATTGGAAAAGCAGCAAGAAATCTGTACATCAGCAAATCACCTGTTTATGACCAAATGTCTTGACTATAAAAATAGAAGTAGGGAACTGTGTGGTGCATATCACCCTATTATTTCCCCTCAGTTTGGGGTTTAAATGAAACCTAGCCCAATAGGACCAAATATTCTGCTATTTCTACATAAAAAGCATTCTCAGTCTCAGAAGTCACTGGGAACACTCAACAGGTCAGGCAGAGAGTGAGTTTACCTTTCAGGTCGATGACCTTTTGTTTCCCGCATCTGTAGTATTTTGCTTTTTATTCACAGTCTCAAATTAGTTTCTAATGGGTGTCAATTCACAGTAAAAAACTGCCCTTAATTTGTCAGTATATTGACTCGTACTCTGACCATATGATGGATGGTGAGGGAAATAGAAAATATCACTATTGAGGTTGGGGTTGAGCAGAGGGATCTGTATCTGATCTATTCCTGAACTGGACGTTCTAAATAGAGATTCTGGGTGGCAAAATGGGAAAGCATTCCAATTCCCAGCATTAACATAGGTGAGCATACAATTCACCAATTTTGTTTTTTGAATAAAAAAAGTAGAAAGATTGCCACTGGTTCTTCCGCAACTTGATTTAAGTATTTGAAAAACCCATTACAGATATGCGGAAGTCTGGTCTCCGAAAACAGTTAAAAATGACATCAATCTGAGAATTTAACATTGAATTTTAGGGAAATCGGTGAAGAAGGAGCCAGATCATGATGATAACCAGAGGAATCTAGATGAGACTACAAAGCTGCTGCAGGATCTGCATGAGGCTCAGACCGAACGGGTCGGCTCTCGACCCTCTTCAAATCTCAGTTCAATCTCCAGCAACTCCGACCGGGAGCAGCACCATCTAGGTATAAGCTAAGTAAAAATAACATTGGCTCCATGTGTCCACAGCACCTCCAGATTGATTTTTTTTAAAAAATCTGCCATTCTTTTCACAAGCTTCCTTTTGGCTGTTTGTGAAAAAGTTTGTGTTTTCATTTTGCAGATTTTCATTTGAATCCCTTCAGACAGTTGCGATTTCTTCCCCTCCTCCCATCTCTCAGTGCACTGTTGTGATCATCTTTTCATTGTCTTTACTGTCTTCGCTGTTGTTTTTCCGTTAACTGCTTTAGAATTCTCAATTTTTTTTTGCTAAGCTTCACGCATTCACAAATTTTATTCACAAAATACCCTTCAGGGTATAATTTTATCGATGTAAGAGATTCCAGTGTAATTGGAGATGGCCTCCATCCAGAGTATATCTTTAAACTTATGTAGGATTGTGCTGATGAAGAAGTTTAATTTTCACACGTAATCTGCACAGACTGGCCAAAATGTTTGAATATCTTACTATTTATACTGCAAGATAATAATAATAATCCTTGTATGTTGATATAGCTCTTGTCACGTCTTCTAGACGTCTCTAAGCGCTTCACAGAATATACTGTGAAGTGAATTGACTGTATATTTGTGGGCGAAAAGCGGTAGCCAATTGAGCACAGCAGTGGTCCCATAAACAGTCGTGGATTGAAGTGACCAATTTCTTACTGTTTTTTTTCTTGGGGGATTATTATCAGGCGTGTGGAGTAAGGAAACTTTCCCAAGGTTTCGCCCTGCAGGGAATCGAACCCAGGTCTCTCGCTTGCGAGGCGAGTGCTCTAACCACTGAGCTGCAGGACTCCGATGTTTGACATTCAGGGTCATAATGTCTTGTGACTGTTTTGAAACTACTAAAATTAGTTTGGCATTTGTTCTGAAGGCAAAGGAGTTTAACCTTTTCTGTCTCTTGTGCAGTTATCGTGCATTGTCCAACACAGAATGAGTGCTGGGTAAATATTATTTGTATTTATCAATGCTCAAGTTAGAACCGTAGCCTTCTAAAGCGAAATATGTAACTAGTGTACATATTTTGATTATGACAAACCAAACTCAATGTGAATGTAGATTTGCCATGCAAGAAAAAACATCAGGTTTATTGAAAAGTGCTCCTCGAACCATGCACATATAATATAGAGTTTGGGCTGTTAGGAACATTGGATAGGAATGGAATGAGGCATTTTTTTAAAAAAACAACACTAGGGATCATATTAGATATTAGATTGAATATTTGATTATTTGTAACACTTGTGTTTTAACTTTCTGTTAATATTGACTAGCAGGAAACAAACAGATTCTGTTTTCTCACAGTATGTAAAATGACAGTATTGGTTGAGTTGCAGTGGTGAGATTCCATCATGAGTAAGTAGCTGTGAGAAAGTGTTGCTGTATTTTCATTGGTCTTTCCCAGTCCTTTGGTTGACAGCAAGCAAGCTATTTGCAAGGAAATGCTAATTTTAAATCTGTTCTTCATGTGTCTGGCAGTCGGAAAAGCAGACAGAGCATGTGAAAACTACTAAGTTGTTTACAGACTTGTCTGTAAAATCTTAAGTTATATGAACTCAACTGATTTTTTAAAACACAGATTTGCCCATATAAATTAGGTTAATTAAGACATACTGAAGATTTTGTCCTGGAACAGAATTAATTTGCTACTTGCTAACTTCCGAGTATAAATCTTGTGCGTTCCACTGCCAGGTGGTGGCGCTGTTTTAATGGAAGTTCATAAGAACATGACAGTAAGTAGTCAAATATAAGAAAAGACTAATCGGGTTCCAAACGCTTTTTTACCATATTAATTATCCAACTAAGGGCATATGGATGTATTTTAAATCAACTGAATGTTTTTTGTCTCTATTTACTCGCTTGGCAAAGTATTGCAAACACTGATCACTTTGAATAAAGATTTTTTAAAAATCTTTTAGAATACAATTTCTATTTATGTCCTCTGGTCTTGCTTTCTTCTTGACTTACTTTTGATATTTTATATACTTTGGCAAAGTTCCCTTAACTACCTTCTTTCTAATGCTAACTGAAACTGCAACTATTGCTGAAGTGGGGACATTTTATATTTTTTCAGAATTTACATTAAAAGTTAATGTTTTTCATTTAGAGTTTGGTTTAATGGCTGCAGGATGTATGGAGTCAAGTTATTTCCCCCCTGATAAAATGTCATACTTATGTAGAAATTATATTTTTCAACATCTTGAATCCATTACTGAAGTGGTATACAGGGTCATCAAAAGTTCTTGAATAACAAGTAATTAAACTGGGCAATTCGAAAAGTGCTGCTACCCCACAATATTATTATATTAGTATATTGGCAGATGGGGGAGGGAAGAGTCTTGCAAGCAAGTTATAAACCTGAAAAGGATAAGCACTTGGATTAATTGTATGGACTTGTAATTGAAGGAAAAAGTTTCCTTAATTAATTTGGCAGTTATAGTAATTGATAATCATATGTTTGAATAAAGAATACGTATTGGAGAGAAATGGAATTTGGTAGGAATCTTCAATGAATCTCTTATGATGTGGAATGGTGTCTGGAAATTTGCTCAACCTATGTGCAGTGTAGAAAAGCATTGCCGTTAATCGAAGGCTTTTAACTTGTTTTGAATTTCCACCTTGGATCCTGTTAACATCACTGTTGTTCTAGGTGGAAGATACCACTGTCGTTTCAGGCCTCACCGATACCTGTGCTGCAAATGCACACTAACAGTGGTAATGTTACCATGGAAACTAGGCAAATGTGAAAACGTGGGAGGGTATTTATTTGCTTGATTAGATTTCGGAGTAAAACCTCCACGCTACTGTTGTGTTGAACTATGAAGCAGGAGATCTGTATCTGGCAATAATCAATACAGTGATTTGTCAGCTTTAACCCATCTGCTGCCAAAAGTATAATGTCTCAGCACACAAACTATGGCTCAGTTGATCTGTCTTGATCTCAAGTGACTCAAAGCATAAACTAATAATTACACTTAATTACTTCTCAATGAAAGGTTACAGAGCATGTTTAAGTGACTAATGATATCTGTCCTGTAGTCACACGAGTGTCATCACTCCCACTTTGAAAAAACCCTCCCTTGATGCGTCGCAGCTATCAAGCTACCGGCCCATCTCCAACCTCCCCTTCCTGTCCAAGGTCCTTGAAAGAGTTATCGCCTCCCAGCTGCGCTCTTTCCTCTCCACCCATGCATTATACGAACCCCTTCAGTCGGGTTTCCGTGCTGCCTATAGCACAGAAACTGCCCTGGTCAAGGTCACCAACGACATCTTGACCATCTGCGACCAGGGCTCCCTCTGGCTCCTCGTCCTCCTCGACCTATCGGCAGCATTCGATACGGTTGACCACGCTATCCTACTCCACCGCTTGTCCTCCCACCTCAACCTTCAAGGCTCTGTCCTTGAGTGGTTTAGGTCCTACCTCTCCCACCATCTTCATTTTGTTTCCACAAACGGCTTTTCCTCCACCCCCCGCACTGTCTCGTGTGGTGTCCCTCAGGGCTCTGTCCTCGGTCCCCTCCTCTTCACCCTCTATATGCTCCCACTTGGTGACATCATCCGCAGACATGGGGTTAACTTCCACATGTATGCGGATGACACCCAACTCTACCTTTCCTCCTCTACCCTCAACTCCACGACCACCGATGTCCTGACAGCGTTGCCTGTCTGACATCGAGTCCTGGACGAGAAACAACTTTCTTCAGCTCCACGTGCGCAAAACCGAGGCCCTCCTGATTGGCTCACGTCAACGCCTCCGCACCTCAGGCGCCGACACCATCAGCATCCGAGGCTGCACTCTCCACCTCTCAAAGCAGTCAGGAACCTCAGGGTTCTGTTCGACCCTGAGCTGCCCTTTCTCCCTCATATCCGCGCCACAACTGGCACCGCCTTCCATCACCTCCGGAATATCGCCAGACTACGGCACTACCTCACCCCTCACGCTGCTGAAACCCTGGTTCACGCCTTTATCACCTCAAGGCTGGACTATGGGAACTCTCTCCTCGCCGGCCTTCCCGGCACCTCCCTCCACAAGCTGCAGGTCATTCAGAACTCTGCAGCTCGTATACTGTCCCGCACCAGGCTTCGCGACCACATCACTCCCACCCTCGCTCGCCTCCACTGGCTCCCCATCCCCCAGAGGATCGAATTCAAGATCCTCATCCTCACCTACAAGGCCATTCACGGCCTGCTCCCTCCTACCTCTCAACCTACTATCCCCCTACCTACCTGCCCGTACCCTCCATTCCTCTGGCTCCGGTCTGCTCCACATCCCCCGCCCCAACCGCCCTACCATCGGTGGCCGGGCCTTCAGCCTCTCAGCCCCGAGGCTCTGGAACTCTATCCCCCAGTGCCTTCGCCGCCTCCTCCCTTTCCTCCTTCAAGGCCGGTCTCAAGACCTTTCTCTTTGACCGTGCCTTCAGCTCCCCTCCCAACTCTCTACCCCCACCTCGCTCCCTCCCTTCCATCCCCTCATCCTGACCATTTTCCCCCTGCTCGGGTCCTGACCCAACTGTCCAGCCTTGGGACATCCTCCCGACGTGAAAGGCGCTCTATAAATGAAATCTTGTTGTTTTTGTGTTGTTGAGTGACACTATCAGTCTTGCTAGATTGATTTCACCAATGTGTGCGGATTATGCAATTGGAAGTGTTATCTTGGCTAATGCATTTTCCTAGTGAGAGTTTGATTAGTTGTCTGGTAACTATTAAAACCAATGCTATTAACCCTCCAGTTCCATCTGAGATACCTCACGTGACTGTGGAAGCAAGTCCCTCTTTTTCCCCAACTTGCTAATATTGATCAGCTCATTGTAGTGATGGTATACAGGAAGGTGCAACTTTGGGCACATTTGAAGGAAAATATTAAAAAATGGAAACACTTG